TAATCAGGCATTCTTATAAGTTTAATCCAGTATCTGATAGCTCTCATTTGACTCTCAATATGCATGCTATAGCGGCCTGTATCGCCAAGTACGGCTTTGTTGGAAGCAAATTTACCTACAGTAAGAAATCTTTTAAAATATGATGCATGCACATTTTCTATGGCTTCGAAATAGTTTACTCCCCAAATTTCAGATCCATATAACAATATTGGTGCTATTTTAGTGTCAAAAGTAAGCAAGCTGAGTCAAATGAAATAAACTTATTAGCCTTAAACAGTTTAAAAATAGGAAATAATGCCTTCTTAGCTTGTGCTGCAAGGGTTTTAGATGCCATGGACCAATTTAATCGGCTGGAAAATAGAAGACCCAAATATTTATAATATGAAACAACATTAATACTTTTGCCACGGAATAACCATTTTTCAGAATGTGTCACTATACCCCCATTTCTAAAGACAACTATGTTAGATTTTTCCATATTCAACTCTAGTCCCCATGTGTCACAAAATGCTTGAAGAATATTTATCTGTCTCTGCAGTCCGTTTACCATGAATGAAAACGTAACAATATCATCTGCAAAGAGAAGCAAAAGTAAATCTTTGATTTGGGGAGTAACAAATATTCCATTATTACACGATTTATACATATCATCTACAAGTTCATTAATGAAGAAGATGAAGAGTACGGGGCTTATTACACAACCTTGTCGCACACCAACGAAAGTGTTAAACGATTCAGTGTTGCCAGAATTAGTTCTAACACAGGCTGCAACAGAGTCATACATGCTTCTTAAAATATTATACATTTTGCCATGGCATCCTTTGGTATGTAACATAAATAGCAATTTCTTACGGTCAACAAAATCAAAGGCTTTCTTAAAGTCGATGAAAGCGCAATAGAATCTCCCTTTTGGTCTGCAGAGGTACTTTGTACATAATGACTGTAATATAAATAAATTATCAGTTGTACTATAATCGGATCTAAAACCAGCTTGAGCCTCGTCAAGTAGCTCGTTTAGATCAACCCAGGCGCGTAAACGCTTTTCTAATATATTAGCAAATAATTTTCCAGAAATGTTTAGAAGAGATATTCCACGATAGTTGCATGGTTCTGATACACTCCCAGACTTGAATAAAGGGACAATCATACCTATATTCCATACCGATGGGAATTTACCACTATCAAGAACTACATTAAATAAATCTTTCAAATATGACAATAACTGTACCATATTATTGGCTCGGTGGGCAGACTTTTGATTGATGTCTTCGTACGCCACACTAAACACCTAGGTTTCGACCCCACCGCCCCGGACATGCTGTTACAAATGTAACATCTATCATCATGATATTAATATTATAGTGTTGGAGGCACGAATAGACAATACGCAGAAACAAACCAATAAAAAAAATCACCATTGCTCCTTCTGATGTAACATAAAATACTCTAGAAAAAATTTAACTGTTTAAAATTAAACCACTTCAAAGTTTTCGCAACGGATAACAAGAGCTTATGTACAACAATAGAACTTCAGACCAAGACAGCTAAATGCAGGTGTATGTACACCCTAAGCATATTTAGGCCCCAAAGTAGGTTGAACATTATTAGTGGCTGCTAATAATACAATACTTCCGTATTTATTTGAGGTAGAAAGCCCTACAGAAAAGACTACTTTATTTGTTTTACCGAGCTCCTGTTTGAGCTATACATTGTGTCATGGAAAGACAAACAGGATCTCTGTTGTGTTTATCCATGTGTCAAAAGCTAACACACATGGCCGCGTAAAGCTTCGGATTAGAAACGTTTTGTTTGCTTGTGTGCCAAAATAAATAGTCCTCGATATTTGGCAAAAAGATATGTTTTAGGTCAGCACATTAACAGATGCAGTCGAGCATTGAGTAATTAGCACTGTGTCTAACATGGATGTAAATACAATACTTTTAGGTACTGAGACCAAGAAAGTTTATGGTAACGTCAGTAATATTTTGAAATTTAGTTACACCGTTACTCTTTTGATTTTATGTCAGTTTTACAGATTTGACTCCATATTGTCATCAGATGTCAGTGATAAAGCCATACAGACTCTTTCAGGGGCGGTGGGGTAGCCTAGTGGTTAAAGCGTTGGCTCGTCACGCCGAAGATCCGGGTTCGATTTCCCACATGGGTACAATGTGTGAAGCCCATTTCTGGTGTCATCCTACGTTATACTGCTGGAATATTGCTAAAAGCGGCGTAAAGCTAAACTCATTCACTCACTTTTAATATGTCGATCCTTCAAAAACGGCTAAAGGACTCCGAGGTTCCCGAAACAGATAACGTGGCATAACTGAAGAGAAGTGTCCTAGACAGTGGCAGTCTTTCAGGCAGGACGTCTATAACGACCACTGAGCTGAACGGTCACACAATGCTTCTACAATTTTGAAAGACCATGATTTCGGCGAAAAAAATGCCAAAACAACAATAAGCAGAGAAAACCGAAAATAGAATATGACGGCTGTCTCTACATAATCCTGTCTGAACCAGACAATCAAGTGATTGACATTTCAAACCACCTTGGTCAGATCAGAATTTGGTTTATCTTGACTTTAGTTTTTAAAGACGATGAATCATTAAAAAAATAATAAGGCGGGCAGAAAAAAAGGATAGTGAAATACCCTTAGGTTTCAAACATTAAAATTTGGTTCACCCAAGTTCACACCTGCATGCGTTATTCACCTTAAAACCTGGTCATTAATATACTACCAGAATTTTTAATTCAGACATTTACGGCCGACTCGTAAGATGCAGTGCTTTAATAAGCCTGTCAAAACATCGCCCCGTTCAAATCGTTTGGGGTTATCGTTCTGAGTAAGTAGGCTAGTGTTTGGTGTATAAGAAAATAAATGTTAGCATAGTCTCGTGGGGACATCACTGGGCCAGACAATAATGTTCGCAGTATCTACTGGTAAACACACCTATATCGCTAACCTCGATAGCGAGTCTGTGTCGGGTTGAATTTGGGGCACGTAAAAAGTCGCCACAGAGAGAGTTTGTGCCTCTCAGCTTGTAACACAGGCTTCATATTGCGGTAGACGTGGTGCGATCTTTAGATGGTGTATGGTGTTAGATATACTAGTTCTGAATGCAAACGTAGGTAGATACATATTGACTTTATGTCTTTTAGGCACTTCGAATCATGTTTCAGGATTTATTCGCTGATTTATTAGAAACATATCGGGTCAGAATGAAGGGTTTTCTTACATCTATTGATCAGTGGCCCTTGAATCTGACCATAGTACTAGGGGCGGTGGGGTAGCCTAGTGGTTAAAGCATTGGCTCGTCACGCCGAAGACCCAAGTTCGATTCCTCGTGTTTACAATGTGTGAAGCCCATTTCCTGTGTCCCCCACCGTGATATTGCTGGAATTTTGCTACTCAACTCACTCACTCTAGTACTAATAGTGATGACTCAGGAAGGAAAAAACGGAGAGTACTTTTAATTTGTTTCCACCAGGAAGACCTCTTCTTGGCGCACTTAGATTAACTATACAAACGCAGGGGGCTAAAGGATTTGTGGTTGGTATTCCGTAATTACCAACAGGGGTGAGGAAAGAAGCTCAAGTGGTTAAACATTTCAAAAGAAATTCACCAAATATTTACAAACCTCATTTAGCGTAGTTTTGTGTATTGCTGATTAACATTTCTTCATATGGTCATGATTAGAGCAAAAATAGATAATTTGAAACATATTTTTGGGACACAGGTGTACCACTAGCCCAGGACGCTGTATAGAGATGTATCATCATTGCATGTTAGAAATCGTGGGTTCGATTATGTTTCTAGGTTTGACGAACAGTGAGTATGGTTTTACGCCGCTTTTAGCAATATACCAGCAATATCGCTGCGGGGGACCCATATGGGGAATCGAGCCCGGGCCTTTGGCGTGACGAGCGATCGCCTTAACCAATAGGTTACCCCACCGCCCCCTTGACGAACAGATCACTGGGTTATAGTAGACGACGTCGTGGTCAACGTCTGTCACCTGCATCACGTCGAGGCTTTCTCCCACACGAAACCCACACAACATAACCAGAATACAGTTAAAAGCACCGCTGAACCCCGTCCTCTCACATACTAGCATATTATTCATTTAACTCGAAACATCAAAATGACGTCTACTTTTATAATCATAAACTTTGTGTGAGATCTCTGACAACAACGTCTTCGACGACATGTGTGTCGAAGCGCCGACAGACGCTTGACTTAATCCAGTCAACTCCCTAATGATAGCAACAGGTTCAAATTTAAGAAAAACAGATGCCCTACACATTTGAACACCTTCCTTTGGATGCTTCATCATAGAACAACATGTTACACAGAAATTATAAGTATGCAAGGTAATGCTTGGTGTTATGAAGGCATGCCAAAAACATACTCATATTTTGAGCCTGTTCTAGAATGTGAGTTGTGGACACGGGACAAAATGCTTTCTGCACAATGTTGTTCTATTAGGACCTTTTTCATGTGTCGTGTTTGGCCCAGACCCTTCGCTTCTTACATAATGAATAAGAAATACGATAACATTATGCTAAACGTCTTTAAACCCTCACACGAATGTGTTAAGTTTCCAATCAAATAACATTCATAAGGCTACCGTGCCAAAAGTGGTCATTTTAAAAAGAACTGACAGAATGTTTAGGATTTGGTGCAAAAAATAAACATATTGAGTCAGATTTAGGACATAGTTAACAATGTGCATTGCCTAAATAACTCATCACAAACAAATACGAGTTGTTTCCAGTGTAAAGGCACATATTTCTATATATGTCTTCTCTATTTTAGTTATTTGTCAAGCACAGGAGAACTGTCTCGTTAAAACGTGACAGCAAAGATTTATTCCTAACTTGCGGCTGGGCTCTTTTATTAAACCACCTCTTTGTAAGAAAGAAAATCCAGTCGAGTATCTTTGTTGCGAAGGTGTTATCGGTGCCTGAAATGTATTATAAAATATGATATACTTACCCAACAGAAAAAGTGATACAAGTTGAAAAACCTTCGGATATATCCTCAAACATGTAGAAGTGTTCATTTTGCCTGTCACAGATGTCCTCGTCTGCTTTGGTGTGAGCAGACGACAGCTTTGACGCAGGACCGAGGCTCTGACACGAGCGAGGCACGAGACAACGAAAACGAGGCCGCGATTTAAGAAATTGACAATCGGCTGGCAACAGTAAATTTTCTCACGCAGAAAGCAATGTTGCGAGTAAACACTACCAAAGCATCCCGTGGAAGCATGTTTGTCAAAAGCTGGAGACATTTAAATAGCGATTTGTGTCTCCGGACAACGGGTAAGGGAGGGTTTTTTTCGTCGTCTGTTTCAGAGATGCCTTGCAAGGGCAAGCAATGATTGTTACAGGTTGCAAGAGAGTGTTGGGTGACAGACAGCTGAATTTCATTGGCGTGTTAGGTTTGAAGGATTAAACCCGACCTTGACGTTACGTCACTGCATTGTAGACGAGCTGTTGGATGCGTATCGTCACTTTGTCTAGATATTTGCTTCAATATGTCTGCAAGACTCTCTTATGACACCACTTTCTCAACCAATTCAACGCTTAACGTTTTCGGGGTTTTTCATTAGGTTATATATTGAATTCTCAATGGCAATTTTATCAGAATACTGACTTATTCGACGGTCGCGGATATTTAAGCTTAAATATTTCCACTGACCGATTTTTAAAATTACATATTATTTCAGTGTATTTGCAATGAGATGCAACATTTTGGCACGTTCTGCTAACGTTTTATATCGACAGGGAGACCTGCTATTTCCTGTGTTCAATCTTCTCGATAGTATTAGAATCTCATTACAGAGCTTGTCGTTTCCCAAAGCGGCATGTTATTTGTTATTGTGATATCTCCTCCCACAGCGTGTTTTCTGAGATTTAAAATGCCGTCTCGTCGTTGATCTACAGAATACACATCCACAGACATTGTTTACAGACGTGTAGGCAAGTTTTTCAGTGTGACATAGCCAAACGGGACGAATTACACACCGTCATTTACAGGTACCTGCATCTTTCAGAGGGAGCAGGGGCATTTCGGGTATCCACCACCCCGAGGGAGCATTGCTTATATGCGCTTTGAAGTGTCACCATTACGGTTTTTCAGTTATATACATGTAACAGCCGTTGGGTTAACAATCCTCGATAATCTCCACTATACCCTGGATGCATCTATGGCTCGAGCTGATGATTTTATTACCTCCCTTGGTTGGCTTTTTATCCAATCAGGTGTCTACGCTGGGAAGTTGAGCGTACCAATCACAATTCACTTTCGCTTTTTAAATTATCTAACCGATTAAACTTGCAGCACAATAATATATTGTTGCAGAGGTACTCTGAAAGATGTAGAAGGAGTTCTTGCATATATTTTTTTAAGATTTCAGGCCTGTAACTTTGTCTGTATGTTTTCCCCTCAAATCTGAGTCGGACTGCGAACAAACTTTCGCGGCTGCGACCACTATCTTTGTTGACACTGGCAAGCTCGGTTGTAACGGCGGCTTATCTGATTGGCTACTGTGAGAATGCGGAGCCAACCAAAGGAGGTAATAAAATCATCGGCTCGAGCCGTAGATGCATCCAGGGTATAGTGGAGATTTATCGGAACGTATACCCTGGAGATTATCGAGGATGTTGGTTTAACGGAGGAAGTGTTTCATGAAGCAGGTTACAGACATTGGTCAGTGTGCGGAAATTCAAAATCATTGTCATATCATCATCTACTATTCAAACTATTAAGTTATTGGTTATTTTTATGGCACATATGTTCTTATCTTAATGATCGTGTGGGCTGGTATATGCTTATGATATTGTAAGGTATTCTTGTGAACTGGTGTCATTCAAAGTTGAGTACGTGATGAAGGGATCGTTGTAATAATGATGATATACAACATCGCCATCATTGCTTTGGTTCAGAAATGACGTCAACCTATACCTCTCTCCCCAGCTCTGTGGGGCGGGGGTTAAGCTAGTGGTTAACGCCGAAAACTCAGGTTCGATTCCCCACATGAGCACAATGCGTGGAACCAATTTCTGGAGTCCCCCGCTATGATATTGCTCAATTAAGCTGGGATAAAGACGGAGCTGATTGTGTATCATCGTAGGCTGATAGCGCCATTAGTTGTTTATGCTATCAACCTCTGGTTTGTCGATTACACACGAGCGTGTGACTATGGTTTTACCCCGCTCTTAGCAATATTCCAGCAATATCACGGCGGGGGGACACCAGAAATGGGCTTCACTGGAGCCCGGGTCTTCGGCGTGACGAGCGGACGCTTTTACCACTAGGCTACCACACCGCCGGATTACATACGAGCAGCGTTGGTAAAGGTAAATATTTTCGTCTGAACAATAACTTTCACTTGCAATACATAAACTCAGCATAGACGTTAAAGGACATGGTGAACTATCTGTATTTCCTCAAGAGATGACAGTTGTACATCTGAATAAATACAAGCGGCTTTATGGAGCAGATGCTGAGGGTGTTACAGGTATCCTATGGATCATCAACGCCAGTGAATAGGTGCCGATCATCTGCCGGAGCAGGTTACACAGAGCATTAAAGAAAAATTAATCATGAAATAGTACAATGTATGTTCTTTTAGAAGGCTGTTCTTTGGAATGTTCTTTAGTGACTATTTCTTGCATTGCATATTGATCCTGATTGCTGACAGATCCAGGTCCTAAAATGTTGTTGACAAAAAAACAGGTAATCTCAAGAACAGCAGCTCGGGAGAAAATGTCCGGGTTTATTTCGGACACTGGAATATTTGCCACAATGAAGATCGCGACAAACTGGGACAGTTTTTAGCTGGCTAGCAACGGGCCAAAGTACAGGGAGCAGGCTGACATTGGCGAGGCGACCCGACTTAAACCTGATAAGAAGAGTGAGTGAGTGAGTTAAAATGTAAGGTCACCTTGGCAATATTTCAGCCATATCCTGATAAGAAGAGGAAGATGAAGTGTCGAGATACACACAGTGTGCGAAATAGCCATTGGCCCGCTAGCCCGTGGCTAGTAAAAATCCAGTCGGGTCAGTAAATCTCCACAGTCACTGGCCTGACTGGCTAGTGAATTTTTATGGGGTAATTTTGTAAATATATCATTCTCTCCGACTTGTTAAGTTATAATACACTTTTAAATCATGCACGCTTATTGCCCGATATTTTGTGGGCTAGTAACTTTCAGGCATAGCTAGCCCGACTAGCTAGCAAAATTCCGCACACTGAATACACAGAAAATTTTAGTCACGTGTTGATTTGGGGATGATTAATATAATTGACATTTTTTTCCATATACGTAAAATATGTTGACACAATCGAATAACATAATTTTGAATGAAATAATATTCTGGAAACAAGATATCAAGGCTAAAACTCTTACAAGTCTGATCGTAGACTAGCCTCATTTATCCCCACATCACCTGTATGTTATGCTCTCACATCACCGGTATCTAATTTAAGTAACACCCCGTCCTTGGCCTGGTGATTACCGGAGAAAGAAGTGTAATCGGGAGTGTGCTGAGAATTAATAACTTTCAGTCGTATTACAGCTTCCGGAAATACAACTGTAAGCACTCATGAGCTGGTTTTAGCGTCACCTGGGCAAACACTTTGATAAACAAGACGAGATGCAATCCTGCCTTAGAAGTTTATATACTTTAATTTAAATTAAACCTCGTCCTAGCCAGTACGCCGCATTCAGCCTCAAGCCTTCAATTTTCCTTAGGACATAGTTCACCTGTGTGATGTCTGAAATAAATTGAAATTATTTGCACTTAGTTACCATTAACAACATGTCTTTTTGTATCAGGCCTAGTGTGCGAAATAGTTTGCCAGTCGGGCAAGTTATGCCTGAAAGTTACTATCCCACAAAATAATTCACTTTCCAGAAAATAAAAATACCATCAAAAAAAAATAAGAAGGCACATGTCTGAATTCATGCAAAAAATCACTAGTCAGTCGGGCCAGTGGTGGAGATTTACTGGCCCAACTGGATTTTTACTAGCCACGGGCTAGCCGGGCCAGTGACTATTTTGCACACTGTCACTGGAAAGTGTCTGTTTTAAGTGAAATGCGTATAAAATGTAGAACTGTTTTAAGAGAGGAAAGTTGTGGATGAGCGAAAGTGATCATGAAAGACCAAAAGGGCGCAACTCGGCACAGCTAATTGCGGCGCCTATTACCTCTGAGACACGCGTTCCTGCTGTGTAACACTTTCAACACATCCTGAAACCAACAGCTATGACATTCCCGAGCCGGATATCGCGCAACGGGGACCAGTGTGTAATGTTAGCCTCGATCGTTACAGTTACGGTTGTGCTAAGCCCGTCATGAGTTCCTGTTTATTACATTTTATGAAGATAATGTAAGATCATAATCATTTCATACACTAGATGTTAATCTAACTCAATATGGACACCACCTGATGTCGATACGATGATGACACATGATGTCGATATGCTACCGATAATATGATAATGACGCCACTCTATAAAGGATGTTGGTTTCGTGAAGGCAGTATTGAACTTGAAGGTTATTTCAGCACGTTGGTTGCTCATCAGATCAATGTAGTAACAATCATATCTAAACTTAATCAAAGATTCGAACCCAGGTAGTGCTTTCTTGTACACCTAAAAACAACAGAGTTTCCTGTACACCTAAACCCCGCAAAGATCCGGGTTAGAATTGGTTTTCAGCAAGCCGTGAATGTCGTAAGAGGCGACTAACGGGATCGGATGGCCAGGCTCACTGACTTGGTTGACACAAGTTATACCAGTTGCGTAGATGATTGCTTATGCTTTGCGTCACTGGATTATCTGGTCCAGACGCGATTATTTACAGACACAAATGATATAGCTGGAATATTGCCGAGTGCGGCGACAAAAAAACAAACAAAACAAACTTGTGACTCGATGTAGGACTCATTCGACTCATATGGAAACGTTTGATAGTACCCGGTTTGTATACTCTTAGTCAGCACAGTGTTCAAGAAGCACTCCACTGGAACGCACATGACAGGAACGATGTGATCAGGACCACAAGCAGTGGGAATAGTGCCCACAAGTAGGTCACGGGACTTCGCGGGACCTTAGTACTTCCGGTGACAAACTAGGTCTCATACTTTTGCGAATGGTCTCATGGTTGTCAGCTGACAGTAAGGAACCGATAATCCTTGGAGGAATCACAAATTTCAGATCTAGCCATCCCAAATTAGCCAACTATTACGACTGTCAACAGCTGTGACAGCCAAGCATGGTTGTACACTTGGTCCGGTCTAGTAAAGTCATATTTAGTAACAGAACTGGTTCTTGCATATACGCTAGAAAACGGAAATCTGGTACCGGAAGTAAGCTTGCCCCCGTATCGCTAGCTGGCGCGATCAAAGGGAGCTGGGAACCAGGTTAGTCGCCGGTTAGTACCGGAAGTAGCGCCTCGCCAGACTTCCAGGCCCTGCAGCGCATAAACACAGCACTTAAAGGGGTTGTGGGACAACCTAGTTGTTAAGGCGTTCGCTCGTCCCGCCGAAGACCCGGGTTCGATTATCCACATGGATACAGTGTGTGAGGCCCATTTCTGGTGTCCCACCGCCGTGATATTGCTTTAATAATGCAAAAAGCGGCGGAAAATTAAACTCACTCGCTACAGCACTTAAACTCCTAAAAGTTCACCTGGGCCACCGCAATGCTTTATCACACACAGCGGCCATGTAGCGGTTTAGTCATCCCTTACTGACACAGCCAAGCACCCCCGACGAGCATTAGCCAACAACGATGGTGTAGAAACCACTCGTGTCCTCCCAGCACCTGAACAGGATAGTAAGTAATATTGCACCGTGTTTTCATGTAACACCTCAGTCCCCGCCGGAAGTCACACAATGTATTTAAAACATTAAAACGTATTTTTTTTCTAATCTTCTTTCTTCTCTAATTTAAATACTGTGCTGATATGTTGTATAAAGAGATAACACGTTTCTTAACCCCAAAATAAGATCGCGAAATACAGCTTTCGTCACCCAGAAAATGTCCTTGGGAAAGTATGTAGAGCTGCAACGTGTCACGACAACCGTTTTTCACACACACAGCTCATACTAACATTCCCCTGTAAAGAAAAGACCAACGGTTTCATGTATATGCAGAATGTTCTCTACAGAAATGACAACATAAGCGAGGAAGACGATGATATTACTGCAAGAAAACTTTACTATGCATATAATCACATGTAAAGATTTGACTGACAAAGAGTCGCTTGTGTTTAACGAACACATGTTAGGGATAAATGCCTATAGCGAGCATGAATATGTGCCCCACACAATAGCTCACTGTTATTTCAACTCATTACACACAATAGGACCCATGAAGACCCGGGTTAGAAAAGGTCTTCAAAAACCCATGCTTATCGTTAGGGCTAACGAAATCGGGGACAGTCTCGCTGAATTGGTGGACACATTACATTGTGAGGTGAGGTGAGGTGAAATTGGTTTTAACGTCATGAGAATATTTCGCTCATATGACGACGTGCATGGGTGTGTATGTGTATGTGCGGCTGCTTGTACTAGCCCAGACTTAAGCTGGTTTTATAGTGCTAGCCCACTGAGATACCATGCCACAGTAAAGCATGAATACCCCACTCAGACACATTATACTGACTCCTAGCCGACCAGTCCTTGTTGTACCCATTAATGCCGAGCGCCAGGCAGGGACCAACAACTACCATATTTTAACGTCTTTTGGTATGACGTGGTCGGGGATCGAACCCGCGACCTTCCGCTCTCCGGGCAGACGCTCTAACCACTACACCACGGAGGCGGTCCACATGTCATTGTGTCCCAAACAGTATTGAATGATGCTCATGATGTCGATCACCGTGTGGTCTGGTCCAGATTCAGTTATTTAAAGACTGCTGTCACGTAGCTTGGAAAATGCTGAGTGCGAGGTTAAACAACAAGCATATAAATCAGACAATAGGAAATATTGTAAAAAACCTTTAATATTACAGTAGACTGCAAAGTAACATTTCAAATACAAATGTAAAATGTAAATATAATTTGTAAATTCAATTTCTGTGAAAAATAAGATTACATATTCTATCACAGATATCACTGATATCACAGTACAAAACTATTGCAGCAGGTTAAACTACCTTTGGTTTGATCTAACAAAACATGTTAGGGACGGTTCATTATGTATGGCTAGGGGGTGATGATGATTTTTATGGAGAAGCATGTACAATGTGAATGACCCCCCATAAAATGTATGTACAAAGTAAGTGAAACCACACACCTCCACCCCCGAATGCCATGTACAAATTCAATGACCCCGCCTTTCAATAATTTTTAAGCATGATCCAATCATATTTTTATGTACAGAATTGATTAGCAATGATCAGATGGTTGAATATTGTGTCACAAACTACTTCCACAAACACCATCCGGACACAAACTACATGAACAAACAACATTCGGACACAGTTATACAATGGTCTTGGCATCAGCCGGTTGATCTTGGTTGTATTTCATGGCCTCCACATGTCTGTCAAGGTTCTGGAGGATGATGATCACATCTTCCCGGGATCGTACCGTGTTGGGATGGAGCTTCCCCTGGACCTCCTCAAGGATCTCCAGCTCCATCATGTACAGTTCCAGGCACTTTTCAAGCCACTCCATATGCCCTGACTTGATGCTCCAATTGTTCCAGTACATCTGCCCATACAGCTGGTAGCATCGTGCAGTCTTCAGATGATATCGACCAAAAGAGGCAAGGCACAGAGCCATGGACTGTTCAAAGTAGGCCTCTGGAACTCCTGTGAATAATAAATACATTTTAAATGAGTTACATTATCATGCTGAATGACTACTACTGATTTGATAAGCAGCTTGAAGAGTTTTTATTGTTCACCAATCTCCCATAAGTGTAAACCAGCAAGAAGCTTTAATTCTTCAGTTAAACATAGGTACACAGTGTCATCTGTAAGCAAAGCAATTCACTGTTGTTGATTGGTATGTTGGTTAACGCTGCACTCAGCAATATTTCAGCTATATGGCAGTGATCTGTAAGTAATCGAGTCTGGACCAGACAATCTGGTGATCGACATCATGAGCAATGTTCTACACAATTGGGATACAATGACATGTGTCAACCAAGTCAGCAAACCAAACCACCCAATCCTGTTAGTCGCCTCTTACAACAAGCATGGGTTACTGTAGACCAATTTTAACCCAGATCTTCATGGGTCCAGATGATGAAGGAACGTAGTGTACATGATGGATGATGGAGTAGTCAATACCACTTACTGATGTCCGTAGCGTACTGTTCACTTTCCCCCAGCATGTACAGAACCTCCGCCAGACCCTTCTTGTTGTGGGTCTTTTTGAAGATTTTTCTGCCGTCCTGCAGGAGTGAACCCTTAAAATATCCACAGGTCAACAACACCTGCCCCAAGTAATCGTCATCAGGTGCCCAGTGTAGGCGGTGAATCTGCCAAGGGGGACGGTAAGAGAGGAGAATGAGATTTGTTTAGTGATAATAATAATAATGGCCATTAAGAAAGCACCTATTTCCACACACTTGTGCATGCTCAAAGCACTGACGCAGTATTACTCAGGATAACTCAAGCTGCCTGGGAGGCACTCGAAGGTTGACTGTCATATGAGTTATCCTACATCATCGATCTACACAACTGGGATTCGATGATGTGTCAACCAAGTCTTGCAACCCGATCCCTTTAATTGCCTCTTACGATAAGCATGGGTTGCTGAAGACCAATTCTGAATCAATAATCTTGAGGGCACCCTACATGTTGAAGATGTTTGGTGCCAGATCCTTCAAACACCTATGCTGGGCTATGGAACTCTCCCTCCACCTCAGATATTCTCCTTCCTTGACTACTTTTAAATCTGGCCTAAAGACCCATAACTTTAATAACCAGTGACAATTATTCAACTTTTTATTTGTATGCGCTTTGAGCATGCCCTGTGCAGTGTGTAAAATATTGCAGTTACATCATCGAGAGTTTGGGAAATGGTGGTCCAGCTGGCTGAGGTTCTGCAATTCCATTTGAAGGCTTGCATATCAGAAGCGTAATCCAGTGATCATGTTTCCAAATTTATGATTTGCCCATATATGATGATCCTCGGTTTATTGGCACCAAAGTCATACTCATGGACCTCAAGTTGTACATATTAGAGGGAGAAACAATTTGATGTTCAGATCAGATGCTCAATTATTTTTTTCAAATTAAACCTGTGCTCATGTATAATCAACTGCATTCAATCTTTGGACACTTGTATGAAAGAATCTACTGTCATATTATTTTGTTCCTGCACAAAATTCAGTAAAACATGGACAAAATGATATATTTTAGCACTTGGCAATACTTCTGCTGTATGATAGTGACTGGCATTTAATCAAGTCTGGTGCCGAATATTACATACAACAACCTTTCCAGATCAGCTTCAAACAGACCTAGATTATCACAAGATGTGTCTTTATGATGAGATGTAAGAGAAGTTAACAGACAACCATATTTACCATTTCACACTGAGGAGCATACTTTTCCCCATATTTCCTGCTGGATTGGTACCCAGGGTGGGAGTTGTACACAAATGTGAGAGCTGAAAACAAAGGTTTACATAAACTTATAAAATATTTCTCATGAGGTCATGATAAAATAACTTTTACACATTTTTCTCAGGCAGCACAATGAAAACAACACCTTTGTCACATATAATGTCCCTAAGATCCTGTGGATGAAGAATATTGACATAAAATAGTCAACAAGAGTAGACAAAAGTAGAAGAATCTTCATTTGAGTATATTGGGCAGCTGCTTAACTGTAACACATGGTAAATTGGGGATTACACTTTCTTAGTACTGGATAATTTTTAGAACTTTGTTGGGTTGAGTCCCATGTGGGATTTGAACTCTCGCTCTCAGTGTCAGACACCTAATCGGCGAAAGCTATGAATACACAATGCCATTTCATAGCTTTCAGATGTGGGAGCTGTGCCAATTTATACTTATCAGAGGATAGACAAAGTCTGTGACCTAGACACCCGAGTGGGTCAGATGGCTGACTTCATGTGCTGACGATTAGGGGCCTGACTCTGAGAGTGTTGGTTCGAATCCCTCATGGGACTCAACCCAACGAAGCTACTAGAATCTGTACTTTACTGAAAAAGTGTAATCCCAAATATAACACGTGTTACATTTCACCACTTTCTAAAAATGGCATTGTGTAGACATTGCTGTTTAACTGTACAGCATATTTCCTTCGCTTGAGACAGAAGTATGATATTTGATGATAAGTGAGTGAGTGAATTTAGTTTATGCCATACTCAGCAATATTCCAGCTATATGGCGGCGGTCTGTAAATAATTGAATAATAGAGTCTGGACCAGACAATCCAGTGATCAACAGCATAAGCATCGATCTGCGCAACCGGGAACCATTGATATGTCAACCAAGGCGTCGAGCCTGACCACCCGATCCCGTTAGTCGACTCTGACGACAAGCATGGGTTACTGAAGATCAGTATTCTAACCTGGACCTTCATGGTCTTGATGATAAGTAGAATTTCACCCAAGTATCATTGTTATAAAGTATATCAACAGGTGTAAAAGAAGTTAAAAACTCCTTCTTGTCTACAACTGGCATTTACACTTCCGTCATTTGCGAGGTCAAAATGCTGAGGATGCTAGGGTGTTTCTAGGGATGGCTATCCTCAGCGCCTCACATCTGATGAAATGTTGTAAACACATTGGCCACCATGATAGCATATGGATTTGGTTGCTAAAGTACCAAATGAGTGAGTGGGTGAGTATGGTTTTTCTGCCTCTTTTAGCAATATTCCACCAATATCACAGCGGGGGACACCAGAAATGGGATTCACACATTGTACCCATGCAAACACGGATCTTTGGCATGACGAGCGAGCACTTTAACCACTAGGCTACCCCACCACCCCTTAAAGTAAAAATAATAATGATTTACATATCCTGTTTGTGATTTTTTTGGGTAGGAAATAAATGACATCTGGATCTCTACGTGACTGCAAAGGCTCTTTGTTTAACATGATAGGATTTCCTTCATCCAAAATCATGATAAGGCATCTACTGGCAAACAAGGATAAGTTGATCACCGAGCTGACAATTGACCCATATTAGCATGTATGAGTGCCGCCCACTGGCTTGCCATTGTGAGCGAAGGGGCCCCAGGCTGTCCGCGATCAAGTGTAGTGCTACACTGACCACGTGAGAGTCTTATGAGCAAGGCGTGTGCAGCTACGCACGGAATCAATTTCATTGTCATGCACTGCACGTGCACGAGCCTACATCTGCTCCACCTTTCACAAACCAAATGGGTTTGCTCATTGACGTCCGCTGCCTACTTCTCGAGAATGCGTTCTCTGCACCGATCCAACTTATCTTTGTTTGCCAGTAATGCATCACTGCTGAAAATAGCCTCTAAAATGTTTTGGTTTTTTTCAGTTTTGATGTTTGACACATTAAATCTGCAGCTGTAGAAATGAGTGAGTGTGTTTCAGCAATATTCCTGCAATATCACGGTTTCGATCCCCGACCGCGTCATACCAAAAGACGTTAAAATATGGTACTTGTTGGTCCCTGCCTGGCTCTCGGCATTAATGGGTACAACAAGGACTGGTCGGTGCGGAGTCAGTATAATGTGTCTGAGTGGGGTATTCATGCTTCACTGCGGCATGGTATCTCAGTGGGCTAGCACTATAAAACCAGCTTAAGTCTGGGCTAGTAAAAGCAGCCGCACCTACACATACACACGCATGCATGTCGTCATAATACCGAAATATTCTCAAGCACAACGTTAAATCTGTATCGAAACGTCACACTCACGAATAAAAGAAGTTGTTATCCATAAAATTTGTTCTATATAAAACAGAGGGAGTGAGTAGCTTAAGACTGACTTCAAGAGTGAGTGAGTCAGTCAGTCAGTGAGTGAGAGTGTGAGTGAGTGAGTGAGGTTTTGCACCGCTTCTAGTAATGTTAAAGCAATATCACGATAGGGACACCAAAAATTGGCTTCACACATTGTATCCAGGTGAGGAATCGAACCCAGGTCTTCGGCATGACGAGCAAACGCTTTAACCACTAGGCTACCCCATTGCCCCGTGTCTCCTTGAAGTATTCTATGATTGCATTATAATATAAAATAATATAACAATAGTAATAATAGTAATATCCTGCTCATATGGCGCTCATATCTAGGCACATTGCTTGATCACGACGCTACGTACATTACTTTCCCCGATCATAGGACACTATCATACTTTCCGATACTTTATCAGCTCCCTGGGGAGATTACAGCCATGCTGCCTGTTACGTGCAATGAATGAAACTCTCACATTGCCAGCACATCAAATGCAATCACATAAAACATAAAATGTTAGACAAGGAATGCTAAGCTGAATTTGGATATCTTTCATATCATATCAGCGAAATTTTTTTGAGGAGGACGACGTTAAACCCCATTTCACCTCACCTCACCTCCAGCTGTAGAAAATCACTCACCTTTTCTGTAAAGTGCAGTCATGACTGCATACAATGGGTCAGCCAGTTCCTTTGCCTTTTCACCATATTTTTTCAGGGAGCCCTCGATGACCTTGTACAGAAGTTCAAGGCACTGATCGTACTGACCTATGTCCAACATGAACCAGCCTACTCGGGTCTGGAGTCGGTAACCTTCATCAGTATCCTTAAGGTTTTGAGACTGCGGAAAAATCAGGATTATCTGTAGTTAATATTATCTGAAGGTCAATAATAATTGTATTGCAATGCCAAAATATGATTCTTCAAATATCTAGTACATTGCGTCTCCATTCTATTGGGACTTGGATTTGTATACAACAACAGCTTCATTATATCAGTCATGTCAACAGCTCCATCGCTTTTATCGTCACTGACTTAGTACAGAATTTTGTCTTGCTCTTGATGATGAAATCAACATCAAATCGAATTATTTCTTCTGAATGTTAGATCACTTACAATCATGGCAAAAAAGAAGTGGACCTCATGTAAAAGATGTGGCACTTAACTGGAACATCAGGATAATTGTTTTGCTTTTTTATTCATTAACGCCGCACTAAGCAATATTCCAGCTATATGGCAGCAGTCTGTGAGTCTTGACCAGACAATCCTGTGATCAACATCATGACCAATGCAGTTTGGATATGTAAAGACATTCGTCAACCAAGTCAGCGAGCCTGATCCCTTTAGTCACTATGTACAACAAGCGTGGGTTGCTGAAGACCAATTCTAACCCTGAACTTCTTTGGAATGAAACATTAGGATTTGACTGTTACATGATTTATACACTGCAGTGAAGTTTTATCTTGTCTTAATTCTTAAACACTTGTTCTAAGAAAACAGACTCATATATCAGTTTATTCATTTACAAAATAGATCTTGAAGGAATCATCATCCGTGTGTCCATGTCATGAGTTTTTCAAATGTAGCAGACATTTATCATGTCTTTAACAGGTCAGTTTGGTTTGTTTGAATATTATATAATTATTAAATATATGAAATGGTGTTATAGTGTTTTATTGTTTACAAGTAAGGCCAGACCGATTTTATTTCTTGTTTTACGGATTTTTTTCCTCAGAAAAACTAAAGGCAGGAGGGAAAAAAATAAAAATAAATCACCAGTCAAAGTAATACTCCTTCTAAATACTCAAAGTATGTTACTTTGGGCAATTTATGAAGTGTATATGGGGCAAAAAATATTCTAAAAGCAAAATTTCTTGTATGTTTACATTCTTGGCCAATGAAAACATTAGGATTTTATTTTTTGAGGGGAAATTAATTTTAATTTTTTTTCTTATTCTTGAAAAAATATGACAGGCGGATCCGTAAAACAAGAAATAGAATTGGTCTGACCTAAAATAAGAATAAAAGTATTATATAAGTCATAAAAGGTCACTAAACATATTGAAGGTTGGTGGTAGTATTCTAAAGTTTGTGGTTTTAAGCATCTGTCAATCATGTTGATATTTGGTTGTATTTGTCAAGTATTCCAGATGAATTCCATTCATCTGAAACGTTCCTATCATGGTTAAGATTCACAAAATATGCTGGATCAAGAGTATGGTCTCATTCTGGATCATTGTTTATCACTTGACACTAATTCACAGCTCCCAATTGGCTAATTTCAAATTCCCATAATTCCCATGCACCAATCTGAGCACCCTAGTAATAACACCAGTATGAAACAGCACAGCACTCAGGCAACAAGGCATCAAGGTTCAAGTGGCAGATGAAACATTTAACAGGTCACATTTGATATCAGGTAGCATCACAACATGGTCTAGTTGTAAAGGTCTATTCCACAAATGGGGCTTGTGTGACTAATAAGGAATTATCTGAATAATCCTCATCTCACCCCTACAGTGCGTCATGTGATTCCTGATATTACTTGAAGACTTAATCAGCTGTAACACAAAATGATCTGCCTTGTCAAGGATATGATTTGTCTCCCCTCATGATTTCGTTAACACAGCTTGACAGTATACAGAGTCTCCTATAGCAGGATGTGTTCTTGAAGGAAGTCAGTTTACATTGAGTAACGCATCTCCCTTATTTCAATGTATTCCTGAGGGACGTATTACACAGAGTTGTCTCCCCTACCTAAATGTATTTCTGTAGTAAGTCAGTACACAGAGTTGTCTACCCTACCTCTGTGTGTTCTGTATATACAAAGTAACACATCTTTCCTATTTCATAGTATTCCTGAAGGAAGTATACACTTTTCCCTCCACTACCTCAATGTATTCCTCGAGGAAGTCAGTGTAGGCAGCGGCTGCCTCTTCGTATCCCCCAAGGTGTTGCCAGGCCTTCATCAGGTACTGCTTGTGCTTGTCTTGGGACACGTGTTCAAAAACCTCTCTCTCTGTCAGCACTGCACGGAGCTCAGTCATATCCTTGGCTGCCAGTAGATGGTACAGAAGCTCCTCACACTTCCTAGAAATGTCCTTGCTGGGAAGGAATTGTCAAAACAAACATTACAATAACTGCCCAAGAAAGAATGATTTCCACACAGACATCCAAGCATGATATATATTATTCCAGAAACATCCTGGCAAAGTTTCAGTTGATAATATTAGCAATTACCTGACATATCATTAAAAATAATTATAATTTTTTGTTCTTCCAATACCATGAGCGGCATGATGTTGCCAATTTGCCTGTCTAAGAAATTTGAAAACTTGGCATACTTTTTCAGTAGTGGTCCAGGACTGCGTGCTAAACCTATAGGTGTAAATCTAAACGTCATAACATGAAAACTGAAGCATATACAACAAACTACCCAAAAAAGGTGGACAGAAGGTTTGAACCATCCCAAACACAATGAAAATATTCGTGCAAATGCACAACTGCATAAGGTGCTGGACAGTTGCACATGACACACATGCAGCATGCACAAAAGCTGTCTGTACCTGTGTCTCTAACAGTTCCAAATCAGGGCATAATTGCTTGAAATGTGTAAAGTCAAATAAGGACTTGAATGAAACCACCTATTGGTCATCCCAAGACGTAAACTAAAAGCCTTTGGTTTCCGCTCTTTTAGTTATGGAGCTCCAACACTATGGAACCAGCTGCCACTCTAACTCAAACAACATCCCTTGATTCCTTCAAATGTGCCTTGAAAACATTCCTCTTCAGAAAATTCTACAGTGATTAACAAACATATCCTCAAAAGTTTCAACCATTTTATGTACAAATGTTTTATGTCTTGTAGCACTCCAATCACCTTAATGAGTAGAGCTTTGAGCATACACTTTTGTAAGGAATCCAGACCAGTATAAATACACATATCATATCTGCCTAGTCGAACCCACCAAGAACTTTCCAGAGAATATGAAGGCTTCCCAACACTGCAGCCTTCTGCATTACCCAGAGTGTCAGAAGGGCTGTACTCCCGGTGGAGAACCCGGGCACTCTCCTGATCTGCGCCAAGAGATCAGGAGGTACCAAACCAAGGGCACCGAGAACAATGGGGAGCCTGGCGACAGTGTACTTGGGATGCATGCGAGACATTTCAAAGGCGAGGTCCGCATATTTATCATGCTTTTCCTGAATCTTGCCAATCACATTGCTGTCAAAAGGGACAGAAAATTCAATGATATAAATAAATTCATTGGCTTTATCAAAAAGGACTGACTGACTGACTGAGTTTGGTTTTACGCCACTTTTTTATCAAAAAGGACATGATCAGGTTTGTTGGCAGGAATTCTTCTGAGGCTGTATATGGGCCTATTCCAGAAGAGTTTGAAAGCATCATTTTCCATGACGCCCTGGACATGTTCAGGGTCGTACCATGGATGGACCTCGGAGGCATGTCGGAGACGGTAGTAAAAGCAACGAGCCATGCCATCATGTCATTTAAGATATGATGTCTGTGCCAAGGAAGGGCATCCACTGACAAGGTGTTGGACAGTCTCTGTGAATTCATTGCAAAGTCGACATTTCATATTGATATTTTCTTTAAGAATCACATTTAGGCGATTGCGATTAGTAAGTGACTGGTCCTGAGCAGCAAAAAGGAAGCCCTCAGTTTCACATTTAAGACCAGCCGACTTCATCCAGGCGAAAGAGTCGGTGGGATTGCTATTCTGTTCAACACACTGCATGTACACACGATGCAATGGCTTCTCAGAAAGCTTCTCCACAAAAGACCGACTCTGGGCAGACTTGGTGAAGGACTTCACCTGGTTTACTCCCATCACTGTACCGTCCAGCAGTACATCGCCACCATTATTATTATTATTATGTTTTACAGATTAAAGATAGTATTATGCAGCAGAGAGGGTTCGGGTGATCCTGGCACAGTCAGGCTGGTAAGGCTCATCATCAGCTCAGGGCCCTTGCCCCCTCTACACGCAGCCCAGACAGCGAATGGGACTTCTCCCAGGAAACGCTGCCTAATCGAACCCACCAAGAACTTTCCGGAGAATATGAAGGCTCCCCAACACTGCAGCCTTCTGCATTACCCAGAGTGTCAGAAGGGCTGTGCTCCAGGTGGAGAACCCGGGCACTCTCCTGATCTGCGCCAAGAGATCAGGAGGTACCAAACCAAGGGCACCGAGAACAATGGGGAGCCTGGCGACAGTGTACTTGGGATGCAAGTGAGACATTTCAAAGGCGAGATCCGAATATTTATCATTATTATTAATGTTATTATTATTCAATATTCAAATAAGGACTAAAGATGTCAAATAAGAAAATATTGTTGTAAATATTGCCTAAAAAAATTATTTTGTGAGTTCATGAAAGTATGTTGTAACTTTGGGTTTCAATCAGTAAACCGACATGAACTTAAATTTTTCAATGAACTAATTATTGTATGAACTGGTGTTAGAAGTTACCACTGTTTAAAGTAGGCAGCGAGTCGTCTGTGATAGGCCATTTTGGTTGCCTCATCCTTCAGGAATACTTGTCGCACAACCTTACTGGATGTTCTGTGGTAGAAGTCTAGTCGCCCATCATCGGGAACCCCCTCCACAAGGTCGCAGGAACTGATGGAGCCCCAGGTACACTAACGCCCACTAAAACAGAAAGAGTGAGTGGTTTAAGCTTGACTTCAACAGTAGGTTTGTAAGTTTGGTTCAATATGCCTGCTGGAGTTAGTGGGTATGGTTTTATGCGATTTTAGGAATATTCCAGCAACATCATGGCGGGGAACACCAGAAATGGGCTTCACACATTGTACCCATGTGGGGAATCGAAACTGGGCCTTTGGCATGACGAGCAAACACTTTAACCACTATGCTCCCCCACCGCCCCATGCAAGCTAGAAGTATTCTATGATTATATTATAATATCAAATAATATCGAATGCAATCACATAAAACATAAAATGTTAAATAAGGAACGCTAAGCTGAATTTGGATATCTTTCATATCTTTAGAAACTGGCCAAAAATACAGATTCTTTATTAGTTTGCTTGCTTGTTTCTTATAAAACACACCACCCAGCAATATTCCAGCCATATGGCAGCGATTGTAAATATTTGAGTCTGGACCACCCTCAGCAGTATTGACAGTTTCTACATAATCTAGTCTGAACCAGACAATCCAGTGATCAACAGCATGAGCATCGATCTACGCAACTGGGATACGATGACATGTGTCAACCAGGACAGTGAGTCTGACCACCCAATTCCGTTAGTCCCCATTTACGACAAGCATGGGTTACTGAAGACCAATTCTAACTGGGATCTTCACGGGTAGCTGCTTTAGTTCTTTAATAAGAACAACAGATTCAGTATGACTGGCATGTCTAGAGCAGCATGTATACCAAGGCCCATTACTGGGATGAACCATATGAACATTTTCAGATTCAAAACCCAGATAAGGTTAAAGGTCACATGCAACGTAAAACACAACTTTGCAGATTCTGATACCTTTCGGTATGGACTTACCGAAACAAATCGTCAAAAATGCAAATTCAACTTATAAAGTTGAAAAATAACGTGATGAAAAAAAAGCGCGAAATCGGAGTTCAAACGTTTCACTAAATTTCCCCAGACTTTTCTGGGGAAAACGGATTTCAACAGCTGGGCTGCGCACATAGCATGTGCGCAGTGAAATAGGTTCGTTCGGGTTGGAAGCGGGTTGTCCGGTGAATACTCGGTGAAGGCTTTGGTGTGAGCTATTTTTCTAATGTTTTGTTGATATCTCACAGGCGCGAGCTTTTTATATGTTATGACAGTAAATTAACTGTTTATATAATTTCATTTGTCTATTTCACCACACGTTCTTCTTACCAAGTCACTTTCTCAGTTCGATACTTAAAAGCAATGAATTTCTAACTGTGATATAGATATGTCGTTGTCACAGACAAAACTCAATGTCTTGTTTTATTGACACCTGTGTGTCTGCCTGCCTGTCTGCTAATGACAATATTCAATACACAGCTGCTATCACTGACCACATGCAATTTGAACTTAACACCAATCAGGTTATACACCATAAACAAAATGCATTGATTTATGGCCCGAGTTCGGTCTCTGTCACATTATGTAATTACACAGACAGGCAGGTGTGATACTTGAACACATGACATGTTATGATGTTTGTTGATTGCAAAATGTTATACACAAAAAATGAGCATGTATTTACAAAACCCAACATCTCTATATATATACACACAATGAGCATCTGCAAATGAACCAGCCGTTACACTTGAGTGCACACCCACCCGCTCTGACTGGGTTCGGTATCCCGGCTGCTTCATTTCTTGGGAAGTAAACCGAAGTACACAATATTGCACTTTTGATTTGCGATTGTACGCTTATAATTTTGTTTATATGTTTTTTCATAACCAGCAATGTATATTATATGTCATGAATAAGTGATAATTGCATTTTAATTATGTTTGATTTTTTGGTTGCATGTGACCTTTAAGGAAAAATCCAATTATTATTAGGTGTTAATATATATGTAGCAGGGTTTGGAGTCATCCCACAGATGACATCCTTCTGTTGTCAGCTTGCTGCCAGGGTTAACCTCTTTGGTCATGTGGACAAGGTGTCCAACTTAGGATCAGAAGGTCTGTGGTTGAATCCCAGCATGGGACTCAGAAATGTTATGGCTACTTATATTATCTGGTCATTATGTGCTGTCTACAAAGACTAGCTGTTGGAATCATTAGTAACATTTTGAAAGAGAACTGTATCAGGTATAACTTATTATAGGTATATAAATTACAAGTGGTAAATCTTAATTTGAAGTATCGTGTGAAAGAAGGTTCCTGAGAAAATTTGTAACATGTGAATGTTTGTAGCTGACTTCCGCAGAGGAGGACAGGGAGATGATAGACAATGAACCATGACAACTGACACATAGGATTTGTCAAGTTATTAGATTATCAGTAATTCCATGGCTTGTTTATTGATAATTACTTTGCTTGTTTATTGATCATTTATGTTTGTTATGGATTACCTATTACATGCATGTTTATTGATAATTACTTTGCTTGTTGATTATTATTACCGGTAATTTCTGAATCTATATACATAAGACTTTGTCTTGCTAAGTAACTTCAAAAGATACATTAAGCTGTTTAGATACACATAAAACAGAATAAAATAAGAATATATCGTGGAAGTTCAAACTATTCTACCAGGAGCAAGGTCTGGCATTAAGCCTTACAGAGTTAAGTCCCTTTACTGATTGGGCATCTCCACATGTCACCTTGTTTATTTTGTTTGTTTGTTGTTTAAAAAGCCACCCTCAGCAGTATTGACAGTTTCTACATAATCTAGTCAATCCAGTGATCAACAGCATGGGCATCGATCTACACAATTGGGATACGATGACATGTGTCAACCAAGTCAGCAACACTGACCACCGGCTTCCATTAGTCGCCTCTTACAACATGGGTTCGAATTACATGAAAATATGGATGTCCAAGATGGCATCAGCTTAAAATAACATCATTTCTATGACAGGAGACAGAGATATTAGTGTGATATATCACTGACTGAATATTATGCAGCTTATGTCAATGTTATGAAACAACAGTTATATTATGAAAATACTGTCTGTTGTCACTTTTGAAGAGCCAGTCTAATTTGCTTTACTCCCTCTGAGTATTTTGAAACTTCCATGGATGATCACCTCCAGTTTTGAAGATAGATCACCTATTGTGGAGGGCTGATCAGCTCATAATGAAAAGAGATATCAAGTAGAAATTGGAGTGATTTTATGTGACTGCACTTGAAACAACTTTGCGATATTCTGTCAACATGGAGCTGGATGTAAAATTCAATGAACCCACTGTTCACCTGCCCGTTTAGGGCAAAGGTCTGTAAAAAGTCCAGAATTGGAATTCAAGATGTCTAAATTCAGTTTTTTAGTATCACAAGTAGGCTTTATCTGCAAAGATTGATAATTCTTATAATCGTCAATGAGAAGAATTATTAATAATTATTGATATAAAATTGTGTTATTGATACTATCATACAGGAACAATTGTGATAAAAAATATTAAAACCCACACCCTCAGAGTCAACCACCTAATTGCCAGCACACAACGTCAGCCGTTTAACCCACTCAGCCACCATGCCTCTGGTGTTTGGTGAGTGGGTTCTCAATGGCATTGAGCATTCACACAGTACCTCTGCCATATAAATCTTCTGCCCAGTAAACTGGACTGCAGTACTGCTGCTGCTCGGGATGAGGGGCTCCGCTGCCAGGAGTTCCACCAGCTCTGCTTCAGACAAGCCGAACCTCGATGTCTCGATGAGACACAGTGTGGACAGAACCTTGTCTCCTCCATACTCTTTAATGATGCGATTAAACACCTGAAATACAGGTGACATGTAAAATATGTAGTGTAGAACAATTAAACCATATCTAGATTATAGATACCCATCCTGAAACTAAACACCTGAAATACAGGTGACATGTAAAACAGGTAGTGTAGAACAATTAAACCATATCTTGATTATAGATACCCATCCTGAAACTAAACACCTGAAATACAGGTGACATGTAAAACAGGTAGTGTAGAACAATAAAACCACTGGCAAATAGACATAGTGCCATAACTGTCAGAAGCCATTGTCAAAGATTCCACTTGGTGCTAAGATGCCTTGAGGAATTGCGCTATAAATGTTCATGTTCAGACAAAGAGCAGTTTCAAGAATAAAGTCTATCAGCATATTTAAATCCTGACACAACCAAAGCACATCCACATCTACTGTTTGCTGCAGATTAAGGTAAAAGCTTTCTTTCGATCCTGTTTCATAATTTGAGTACACAGCATTCTTTCAGACAATCCTTTTAAAATTTTAGCTTCTCAGTACAATGTTCACCCTCACAATTTCAATAACGCCAGACAGGTCTCCAGGCAGACTGTGTATTTTACTGGTGAGATTCCGGAAGTCCCCAAACACACGGAGCTCTTCACAGGAGATGGCGAGATATAATGGCCGCCCTGCATCTTCCTTTGTCACCAGTAGTTGCATCTGAATAAATTTACAAAAAAACAAAATTCTTTCATTATCGTAAATTTCTCTTCTAAAATGCAATAAACACATCCTTCATTGCGATGTTGGGACCACATATTCAAAGAGATCATCCATATCCATTCTGGTACACCTATTGAAATGCTTTTGTGTACAACATCTACTTGGACTGATCGACTGAGTTTGGTTTTACGCCGCTTTTAGCAATATTCCAGCAACATCACGGCGGGGGACACCAGAAATGGGCTTCACACATTGTACCCATGTGGGGAATCGAACCCGGGTCTTCAGCGTGACAAGCCAATGCTTTAACCACTAGGCTACCCCACCTCCCCCATCTACTTGGATAGGGTTATAAATAGAAACATGGAGCAAGAGCGAGTACAGTTTTACGCCGCTTTTAGCAATATTCCAGCAATATCACGGCAGGGGACACCAGAAATAGGCTTCACACATTGTACCCATGTGGGGAATCGAACCCGGGTCTTCAGCGTGATGAGTGGATGCTTTAACCACTGGACTACCCCAACAGCCCTTGAAACAAGGATGGTAACATTACATTAAATCTCAAGAATTTCAACGTAATAACATATTCGTCACTAATCTATGAATTTAAAATGTCATGTATGGCTGTTTCCAGGGAAATGGGGGTGGTGGGGTAGTCTATTGTTTAAAATGTTCGCTCATCACGCTGTGTAGTTTTACGCCACACTCAGCAATATTCCAGCTATATGGCGGCAGTCTGTAAATAATCGAGTCTGCACCAGACAATCCAGTGATCAACAGCATGAGCATCAATCTGCGCAATTGGGAACCGATGACATGTGTCAACCTCATCACGCTGAACACCTGGGTTCAATTCCTTACATGGCTTCTATGTATGAAGGCCGTGTATGGTGACCCCTGCCGTGTTATTGCTGAAATATTGCTAAAAGCAGTGTAATAGCTCACTAGCTTATGATAAATGACTGGAACACATATATAACTGGATATTACTGCACTACTTGCAGCCAGAATAACAAACATCAAGTGGATGAGAGCTGTTGGTGCGCACTAAATTCATGTGAGCCACCACCATAACTACCTGTTCCTTGTCAAGTAACTTGTTGTAGTCGGCCAGATATTCACTAATGATCTTGGTCCTGTAGTCCTGGTTCAGGGGTTCAACCATAACCTCGTCACACTGGACCTCATGTGACCTCATGGCATGTAGGGTGGCGCCCTCTAGTGTACTGACAACGAGGCGCATTCCCTTGGGAAGTTTACGGGGCAGCCATCCAAGTTTGTGAGCCATCCCTGTTGGAGAATATTGATCGAGTTGTTATGTTGTGTTTCATCTTATACAGTGAGTGAGTGAGTGAGTATGGTTTTACGATGCTTTTAGCAATATTCCAGCAATATCATGGCAGGGGACACCAGAAATGGGTCTTCACACATCGTTGAGGTAGTATACAGATGGTCAGTTTGGTCAGTTTGTCAATAAAGGGGGCATGCATAGGATCTGAAATGATTTTGATTAAGTATGTTTTGGCATCTACCAGCCTGAGATATTAGTCGGATATGTCAACGTTGGGTTGATGTATGGCTTAAGATAACTAGCAATGTCATTTTATCACTGGAAGAAATTGATGGTACCAAATAAAGTCTCGAAAGGGACTAATGAAAGTAACTAATTATTAAGATTGGATATGAGGCATTTCTGTAGGAGGTAGGACATCATTTCGGGAGGAGCCCAGAAATTGTGAAGAGAACTAAAACTAGCTGACTGAGAGAGGCGGAGACTGAGCCCTGCCGTTGACTTGAGAGGTTCTCTCTGCATATTGAGAGATTGGCTCAGATGAAATTGTAACTTTAGGAATTGGGAAAGAAACCAACAAGTTCTTCCAGGAGATGTGTGAATCTGTGTTACATGTAAACCAGGAAATCTAGGAAATATTTGAGGACCTTTGTGAAAGAATTCATGTTAAAATAAACCGGACTTGAACACCATACTGGACTTATCCTTGATTATCCATCTAGCTACATCATCCCCAGAATCAGAGTGGCTAGACAGATTGCCTAGGTAATAAGGGTACAACACCCCGAAAACCTAAGGTAATAGTAGCCATATGTTTAAAGCGTTTGCTCGTCACGCGGAAGACCCGGGTCTGATTCACTGATTGAGTTTTATGCCGCACTCAGCAATATTACAGCTATATGGTGGCGGTATGTAAATAATTGAATCTGGTCCAGACAATCCAGTGATCAACAGCATGAGCATCAATCTACACAACTGGGATACGATGACATGTGTCAACCAAGTCAGCGAGCCTGACCATCCGATCCCGATCCGCCATGAATTGTAAACTGAATTTGTGCTGCACACCTTGACATTAAGCAACATTTGTAAGGCACTACATTGAAAACACATGATGTTTATTGTGTTGTAATCCCATAGACTACAGGTATTCCCAGGTAGAAAGGACTTACCTTCATCATCCATCTGATTCAGAGCATCAATATAAACAATCAGCTTCTCGTATCCCTGATCAAGAGCATATTCTGTTGACTTCTCAAACATGGTTCCTGTGTATCGCATCATCTCGTCCGAGTCCATGGGAGGGACGGTGTTTGGGGGCATGCACTCATGAAACATCCTTGATAGAATTCGGTACAGGTTTGTGGAGTCTGGAGTAGCGCCAACAAAATGGAAGAACACCTGAAAAGAGGAGCATGGCGGACATTGAGTGATCGTCATCAAACTTCAAATCAGCACCAATAGCTATTTCTCTGAGATACTGGGCAGTGGGGTAGCCTGGTGGTTAAAGCGTTCACTCATCACGCCAAAGGCACGGGTTCGATTCCCCCACATGGGTACAATGTGTAAGCCCATTTCTGGTGTCTCCTGCCATGATATTGCTGGGATATTGCTAAAAGCAGCGTAAAAAACAAACTCACTCACTCACTGAGATACCATACCACAGTTGGACATGGATGCCCCACTCAGACACAACAGCATACCAACTCCAAACTAAAGCGTTCTTGTCTTATATCTGTAAAGCTGAGTATCAGGTAAGGTAACAACAAATACCATCTTGGAACATTTTTCGTAAGACAGCCCAAGGTATTGAACCACAGACTTTCTGCTCTCGATGGCAGATGCTCTACCAACTAAAACCATGGTAGGATTTTATCTAGGATTTTACAACTAAGTGGCTTTGGCTGACAGACTGGGAAACATGATATGGACTTATGCTGTTTTGTTTTTTTAATTCTTATTTTGTAAATCCTAAGAAAAATGCAAATTTTGAATTAAATATTCAAATTTGCTTCAGACATGAGGCCAAATATCAACCTGTGAGGAGATCTGGACAAATCCATGTTTCGATTCGGACAGGGAATCAAACCATAATGAATACACCATGCTTTTTAGAATGTGGTAAAACATATAACATATGATATATTTGGGATTACATTTTCTCAGTAAAGAACAGATTCTAGTACTTTAGTTAGGTTGAATTACGTCTGGGATTTTGAACCCACACTCTCAGATTCAGGCACCTAATCACACATGGTACAAAAAGTACTTCCATTCTGTGGAAACGGCGGAGGCTGAGTGGGTTAGATCACTGACTTTGTGTGCTGGTCAGGTGCCCAACTCTGAAAGTGTGTTCAAATCCCAGATGGGACTCATTGTAGCAAAAGTATTAGAATCCGTACTTCACTGAGAAATTGCAATGCCAAATATAAACTTGTTACATTTGAACACTTTCCAAATGGCATTACGTATTCATAGCTTTCATCGGTGGTAGCTGTCAGAGGTGTATGTAATCTGGGCTCCAGTTGTCAGCCACAGTACTTGGCTAAGTGAGTTGGACATTGCATGCTAACGATTAGGTGACTACCTCTGAGAGTGTGATTTCGAAATCCAGGATGGGACTTACTAGAAGTACTGGAATCTGTTATTTAGTGAGTGAGTGAGTTTAGTTTTACACCACTTTTAGCAAATTCCGGGGGACTGTGGGGGACACCAGATATGGGCTTCACACATTGTACCCATGTGGGCAATCGAACCCAGGTCTTCGGCGTGACGATTGCCGCGAACAGCTGCAAAATTGCTGATGCGGCGTTAAGCAATACTCACTCACTTCGTCATGACGAGCGAACGCTTTAACCACTAGGCTACCCCACCACCTTGTGCTGTACTGAGAAGGTGTAATCTCAAATATAACATGTTAGATCCAACCGCCAGTCTTCCACTCTCCAGGGTGACACTCTATCCGCTCCACCATATAGGTGGACCAAATGGTCCTTCATTGCACAAAGGCTTTCGCCCATGTGTCTTGACCACATCACCAACCTTGAACTTGTCATTTCCAATGGCCTTCCCAGCTGAGGTCGCCATCAGGGAGCTCTTCCCTGCCCCTGCCGACCCCGCCAGGTACATGATGCGGGTGCTGTCAATGTTGGTGTTGATGTAGTTGGAGATTCTATCAAGTATGTCATCACGGCCTTTCAAACCCTGGCAACAATCAGCAAGAAATCCACTTCAATGGGAAATGATGATTAGTGACACTATAATGTAGCTCTCATAACTGTGACACTATAATGTAGCTCTCATAACTGTGACACTACACTGTAGCTCACCTAATTGTGAAACTACACTGTAGCTCACCTAACTGTGACACTACACTGTAGCTCACCTAATTGTGATACTACACTGTAGTTCTCATAACGGTGACACTACACTGTAGCTCACCTAATTGTGATTCTACACTGTAGCTCACCTAAATGTGACACTACACTGTAGCTCACCTAAATGTGACACTACGCTGTAGCTCACCTAATTGTGATACTACACTGTAGCTCACCTAACTGTGACACTACACTGTAGCTCACCTAATTGTGATACTACACTATAGCTCACCCAATTGTGATACTAGTGGCAACACGTGGTATATGCGTCGACTGGGGAATTAGCTCATGTTTTAAGATGAATTACATGTTGATGAAGACGAAGGAATACATTGAGCTCAAACTTCTTTGGTTACATGACAAACAAATACACAAGACATACATGAGGTGAGCGGAGTTCCAGCTCAACCCCAGGGCGTTTCCTACAAGCGGCATTCTCCGGCTCGTGGTCGTCACTACAGAGAGTCGGAATACCGGACTCGTACCCTGTTTTTCAATATACATGTAGATGTGAGCATATATATACAGTTTTTGACAACAATGGACAGGTTACGACTCAGCAATAGACAGATAGAAAAACAATAGCACTTCCTTGACCAGTTGATGTGATGGCAGACACGGCCAAGGGGGATGACCAATTTAGGTTATAAATGTCCTATACAGTAATTAATTGCCTGACAAGTCAATGTACAATGTGGAAGTGATAAGGAATACATGGAATACAGACTAGCATCATATAAATAATTACAATAAAGTCTCACATGTCTTGACTACATAGTTTTTACTTTTTAAATATTTGGACGATGGCTGTCCTGAATTAGTCCCTATAACAGTGCACTGTAGCTCACCTAAGTATGACACTACACTGAAGCTCACCTAATAATCACACTACACCATAGTTCACCTAACACTGAGACTACACTACCCTTCATGTAATTCTTCAGCTTATCACTCTGATAGAATAGATTGTATATAAACAACACTCTAATAGCTATTCCCTAGCCTGCTACCCTGCATAAGGTGCCAAGCAGTGGTAGGAATTAGGGAACATTTCTGTAGTATCCATAGAGATGAATAAAACAAAAGTAACATCAATTTCTACAGTGAGATTACCTCTAGTTTCTTAGAGGTTCAGTTAGGTTTGTGAATGATTGAGTGCATATTGTCAGCGTGACGGGCGGACGAACGCGGTAACCATTAGGCTAGCTAACCCACTACCTCTGGTAGATTGTGATTATGTTTGTAATCAGTACCTGAGATCTGAGAAGGAGGAAGTCTTCTTGTTCAGCGTATGACACCTCTACCTCCGTCATCTGCTGCTGCAGCGAGTCTGCTGGGTACTGCCTCTCAATACACTCCTGGAAGAGTGAGTGACTGAATTTAGTTATGGCGCTTTCAGCAATATTCTAGCAATATCACGGTGGGGGACAGCTAGAAATGGGCTTCATGCTTTATACCCATGTGGGGAATCAAACCCAAGTCTCCGGCATGACGAGCGAACACATTAACCACTAGCCTACCCCACCCCTATGTCTGAAAGAAAGGGACGAGATACCAGGAGTTTTCATCCTGAATTTCTATACTTCTTCAGATAAACATATAACATCCAGATATTCAACCTATATAAGATACTGTACAACCACTGAATGAGGTCAGAACATAACTGAAGTGCACACTGATCCACAGACTGGGATAACAATAAATAAATACCTTGGGAATTGACTTTGTGAGTGGAATCTCGCACAAAATCTACCTGGTATTGTTTATCTTATTATTAGGGGTGACTATTATGAAAGGTTGTCTTGGGTCCAAGTGATGGTTCCGTTGAAACCTCTTATCTAACTGGCGAGCTGGTCTGCTTGGGGGAATTAACTTAGCAAAGAGTCCGAAGTCACAAGAAGCTAATCACAATTTTATTTACAAGAACGGAATAACATGGGGTGGCCACAGAGAGTCGGTACAACCCTCAGGGACGAAGGCTAGAGCTGACCTGTGTTGGGAGTCTAAACCATACTGACAAACAAATGAAGATAGTGACTATTTATCTAAAATTGAAACAAGGAAGAGATTATGATTCGTTGACTGGTACCAAAATGGGTGTAACCTACATTAACCAATGAAATACAGAACATACAAGATGGGGGGTGTCCTACAAAAACAACTTCAATGACCAGACCGGGGGAGTACTCTTAATCCTGTTAATCCTGTTTCAACTGGCACTAATCTCGTTGGCACTTTTACTGGATGCTTGGATGCTTACCCTGGGCTAGATCTTAAAGACGTGTTTACTTGATCATAACAGTTTATTAAACCGTCTAGTCATAACTTTTTCTTACTGAAAGGTTTACACGTTCTCAGCTTGAGTCCTTGATACCTTAGGCTAGGATTTTATCTTAAACATCTGTGAAATTGTGCAGGTGTAATTTATACCTTTTTCAATAGTATGTCTGTGAGATGAGTTTTACTACTTTTGACTGGAGTCTTTCTCTAAGCTATTACTGATGCATGATGAAACTAATATTCTATATTTACATTTTCCTAATATACTGTTTGTAGTGGTTATAATTAATAATGATTTTTGTATGAATTATTATCCCATGATAACTATTGAGGGGACACAACTATAGCGATAGTCTATTGTGAGCAACTTTTCGCTAGTCTATTGTGAGCAACTTTTGCAATACTGTTGCAACAGTTTTTTTCTCCTTGAATGGTCTCATTTGAAGTACAGTGGAAACCGCCTAAGTAAAGACCTCTTAACTAAACAGACCTGATAAGTAAACACTTTTCTTTGGTCCCGGCAACTTTGTTCATTAATTATCACTATTAGAGTCTGGTTAACTAAACTCGGACAAGTAAACAATACCGCTTAACTAAACGTCTTCTCACGGTCCCTGGAAGTAAATTACTTAACAAAAGAGACCGGATAACTAAATTAGCAATCACCACATGATCTGACATGGGGGGCACGTGTCAGTCTCCAGTTAAACAAACATCCTACTTACAGCTCGCTGGCATCATGCAGTTGACAATACACTGACAACTGGAGGCCAGCCCTGATAAGTTGTTCATTGTTACATATGCATATATATACATGCATATGGTTGTCATATTTGGATAAGTAAAATACCTGATAAGTAAACAATTTTGGCGAGTCCCTTGAGATTTTACTTATGAGGTTTCCACTGTAATTTCCCAAATGAATGTATAGTTGTATAGAATGTATATGAAATAAAAACAAGTTGAAGTAGTTTCAGTTTTTGAACAACTGACAAGAAACTTGAAATCCAGATCAAGTAAACCGTCATGTTTGTTTAAGATGTAACAGGGGAGGATAAATCTAAATGAAAGTGAATGAATCTGGTACATCCTGTATTTTATCAACAAAAGTCAATTACTACACTATCGATAGTCACACATACTATCGATAGTTTTTCGTTTCTACCATCGATTAATTGCTATCAGAGACACCACAAATGCAATCCATCTATAGTTCAATGCATTGTTACAGCCCCACTTATTATTATTTACAGATTAAAGATGAAAAATGCAGTAGAGAGGGTTCGGGTGATCCTGGCAGTCAGGCTGGTAAGGCTCATCATCAGCTCAGGGCCCTCGCCCCCTCAACACGCAGCCCATACAGCGAATAGGACTTCTCCAAGGAAACACTACCTAGTCGAACCCACCAAGAACTTTCCGGAGAATATGAAGGCTCCCCAACACTGCAGCCTTCTGCATTACCCAGAGTGTCAGAAGGGCTGTGCTCCCGGTGGAGAACCCGGGCACTCTCCTGATCTGCGCCAAGAGATCAGGAGGTACCAAACCAAGGGCACCGAGAACAATGGGGAGCCCGACGACAGTGTACTTGGGATGTAAGCGAGACATTTCAAAGGCGAGGTCCGCATATTTATCATGCTTTTCCTGAATCTTGTCAATCACATTGCTGTCAAAAGGGACAGAAAATTCAATGATATAAATAAATTCATTGGCTTTATCAAAAAGGACAAGATCAAGTTTGTTGGCAGGAATTCTTTTGAGGCTGTATATGGGCCTATTCCAGAAGAGTTTGAAAGCATCATTTTCCGTGACGCCCTGGACATGTTCAGGGTCATACCATGGATGGACCTCGGAGTCAGAGCCACAGGCATGGCGGAGACGTTAGTAGAAGCAGCAAGCCATGCCATCATGTCGTTTAAGATATGCTGTTTGTGCCAAGGAAGGGCATCTACTGGCAAGGTGTTGGACAGTCTCTCAGAATTCATTGCAAAGTCGGCATTTCATATTGATATTTTCTTTAAGAATCACATTTTGGCGATTACAAGTGGGAAGTGACTGGTCCTGAACAGCAAACAGGAAGCCCTCAGTTTCATATTTAAGACCAGCCAACTTCATCCAGGCGAAAGAGCTGGTGGGATTGCTATTCTGTACCACACACTGCATGTACACACGATGCAAGGGCTTCTCAGAAAGCTTCTCCACAAAAGACTCTGGGCAGACTTGGTGAAGGACTTCACCTGGTTTACTCCCATCGCTGTACCGTCCAGCAGTATAACACCATCAAAATGAACCTCAAATTTCAGTTTCTGTCTAACAAAAAGAGGGTTTGGGTGATCCTAGCACAGTCTCACAGGCTGGTAAGGCTCATCATATATTATTATTATCATTATCATTACCTTGAAATGGTCATGTACTTTCACGCTGAAGTTTTTTAGTCCCCCGAGTATCAACTTGCCGTTTTCCGTCTTCTCCACATGGCAGCTGTAGTCATGTGTCCTGTCTCCGAACTTCTCCCTGATTTTGCCTGGCACAGAGAGAGAAACATGAGACCAAAGCCCACCTGCAATCTTAAGTGCTACAATTATTGTAAATCCTTAAGATTGTAGGCGAAGATCATTGTAAGCTACAATCGAAACTTACAATTGGTCCGGACCAATGGTAAGGTCTTACAATCGACCAAAATGGCATCTATGGTGCTATTTTGTGAGGAATATGACAGGTTTTTAAGGAGAGAACAGGTTTTCAGAGACAGAACAAAGGCTGTTCTAAAACCTCTTTAATATGCAAACTTCAGGTACATTTAAACTCCTTCTATGGCACCATTTATAGCATCATATCTGGTAGGGCTGTCTAAAAAAATTGATAATTGAGCCCTGTGTGAGATATTTGGCATTATTTCTTGTTATTTCAAAATTTCAAAAGAATGAAAAGAAAGAAAAGTTTAAATGACTACATTTCACGTTATATACGTATTTGCCATGTCCCACCGATGCAACTTGTAGTTCTCACTTCTCAAGGTGTGACTTGTAGTAACAACAAAGATCTTAACAACTTTGTTATATGTGTGCTATTTAAGTCACATACAACAGGTTTACCGGGAATTCTCACGTGTGACTCAGCAACATGTATTCATAATGTCAGGAGAAACATTTGTTCTACATGTCGTTTCTTATCTGGTAATGTCGAATTTTTATTTCAGTCATGTCACCAACATGAAAAAAAAAAAAACTACACAAAAGGGACATCACTCTTAGGTTGACAAAGTGATTTAATTGTGCAGAACTTGTGTTGGTTGGTTTGTTGTTTAACGTCGCACTCAGCAATATTCCAGCTACATGGTGGCTGTCTGTAAATAATCAAGTCTGGAACAGACAATCCTGTGATCAACAGCATGAGCAATTGGGAACTGATGACATGTGTCAACCAAGTCAGCGAGCCTGACCACCTAATCCCTTTAGTCGCTTCTTACGACAAGCATGGGTTGTTGAAGACCAATTCTAACCAGATCTTCAAGGGTCGAGAGCTTGCGACTTGTAGTAGGACAAATCCTATGTCTTACAACTCGACTGGGACTAGTTAGCGATTTCTAATCATAACAACTTGGTTGTTCTCACGTTGCAACTGTGTTACATGCTACAAGTTGTTACTACAAGTCACACTGTGAGAACGGACATTCATGCAACTCTTCAGAGCAAGAAAACCCTTGTGATGTTTCTCATTTATATAGTGGACCTCCTGATGTGGCTTCAGGAGAGTATGTGGCAGGGTGTGGAGTCACCCACAGATGACATGCTTGACCTCTGGTCATGTAGTCAAGGCCTTCGATGTTGGTTGGTTGCTATTTAACACCACACTCAGCAGTATTGCATATATCGCAGAAGTCTGTAAATCATCGAGTCTGGACCAACCAATCCAGTGATCAACAGCATGAGCATCGATCTACGCAATTGGGTTACGATGACATGTAGCGAGCCTGACCACCTGATCCCGCTAGTCGCCTCCAACGACAAGCATTGGTTGTTGAAGACCAATTCTAACCCAGATCTTTATAGGTCCTTCGATGTTGGATCAGAAGGCCTGTAGTTTTTCTATCCCGACACTCAGTAATTTTACAGACACTGGGTTGACTTTTAGCAACCAAGCTAGTTATAAGAGGCGACAAACAGGATGGTGTTGTCAGACTCACAAACTTGGTTGGCACATCCCACCAAAGAACTAGATCGATGATCATGAGACCAATCACTAGATTGTCTGGTCCAGACTCAGCTATTTACAGATTGCTGTAATATAGCTGGGATATTACTGAGTGCAGTGTTAAACAAACTAACAACCAAATGGAATCATAAAGCTCCCAGAAATAAATACTTAGAAGTATAAACTTTTCCAAAACTCACCTTTCAGGACCCGAAGAGACTCAACTTTTTCAGGATCAGTCTCTTGGTAAATGTTGCGAAGGTTTTCATCGTTTACACCGTTCAAAAAGCCTGGCTGACGCATCATGAACAGCGCCTGCAAAAAACACCATTTAGCTTCTAAATTCAAATAAAATGCTTCAAATACCAGTGAATCTTCCCAACTATGCTACAATCTGAGCCATATTGCATATTTAGGGTATAATATGGTGGTATTGTGTGATCTTGTGCTTAGAGCGCAGGCCACAAATCAGGTGAAGTTAAGCAACTTTGGGTCACGGAGAGTCCTTGGATGGGTGACCGTGTTTGGCAGCTTGACTCCTGAGAGTTTCTAGGACTTCAGTCCTTCCCCACAATGATGCACCTATGTGTTCACATCTTAGGCAAGTGAGTTTGTTCAAACTTGCCTCTGTTCACCCAGCAGAAAATGGGTACCCGGTGGGATAAGTCATATTAACCTTCTAGAGCCTCACAGGCAGCTTGGGTTATGCGGGGAAATAACGGCCATCATGTTGAATATGCATAAAGCCTGTCCCAGCAGAGTGGAGTGTTATAAAAGTGGCCATATTATTGTCAACATGTAGATAGTGTCGACTGGGGAACTAGCTCATAATTAAGGTGAAGTGTGCGTTGACGAAGACAAAGGCATAGTTGAGTTCAGACTTCTTCAGTTGGTTCTACAGTACATGACATAAACAAGTATACATAAATGAGGTGAGCGGAGTTCCAGCTCAACCCCAGGGCGTTTCCTATGAGCGGCATTATCTTGCTCGCGGTCGTCCCAACACAAACAGTCGGAATACCAGACTCGTACTCTCTGACAATGTATATGTTAGCATATATATACAGTTTTTGACAACAATGGACAGGCGATGACTCAACAATGGACAGATAGAAAAACAATAGCACGTCCTTGACCAGTTGATGTGATGGCAGACATGGCCAAGGGGGATGACCAGTTAAGGTTATAAATGTCATAAACAGTAATTAATTGCCTGACAAGTCAATGTACAATGCGCAAGTGATAAGGATTACATAGAATACAGATTAGCATAATATAAATAATTACAATAAAGTCTCACTTGTCTTGACTACATAGTTTTTACTTTTTAAATATTTGGACGATGGCTGTCCTGAATTAGTCCCTATAACATTATGATTAGTAGGTAACATCTATGTTAACACTGTGTACTTCCTTAGATTTAATATCGCCACCAACACCACAACAACAACAACTCGGTTCACAGCCTTCTCCATTCTCTTCCCACAGAGGTTACTTGTCATATCTTCCTATGAACCTCTGTTCTAATACGTCCCTTTCATGGTGCGAGTGTTCAGGATTTGTGATTGGTTGCAATCAGATTTAGTTGTGCAATACGCGACGTTGTTTCAAAAGTGATCATTCGCAAGGCTTCGGTTATTTCCGTATGCTTCGGGAAAACTAGAACCTCTTTCCCTGCGCGATGCGCAAACGTTTCTTATAGACAAAACTCAGTCATGTAAATGGCGGATCAATGGCGCCTCCATCGCCCTCGTTGACAACGGACAAGCTAGCCATTAAATGTCTTGTGTGTCACATCAACACTCGTTCCTGGCAGAGGAGGGATATTTGTGACCCAACATTTGCTTGTATTAGTCAAGTTGATGTAACACGTGTTCTGATTGGACAGAAAGAAGGGAGATAATTCATGCTGCGATTTTATGCTGCTAGGGGATTTTATGAGAACCGGGAAATATGACTGCATTAGAACAGAGGTTCGCAGGAAGAAATGACAAGTAACCTCTGTGGGAAGAGAATGAGCCTTCTCCAACTGTACTACTTCTCCAACATACTACTTTCCTGATCAAAATCCATTAGCTTTCATTTTGTATTTCAGCATATCAGACACACACAACACGCTTGTTGGCTTTACATGTAGACACTAATCTAACACAAATATACACATTACAAAGCTCCTTATCTTACGTTGGGGTTTCTCTCCCAGTATGCACCCGTGAAGACTTCCAGAGCCGTCACTGACATCCCTGGCAACCAGCTGTACCTGAAGTAGATAAAACATTTAGACCATGTGACATCATCGGTTACAATGACATCACAATCAATGACATCACTTTTCTCTCTGGTACTAAAATTGTAGCTAAACAAATTAAACACAAGACACTGTTTATAACTCTATACAAACAGAGAAAGATGACAGAAGGATTTTGGATGATGAATAAAATCTAACCAACAGTCTGTCTATTGCATTGTGTTCACTTAAAATTTTTCTTTTAAACAGATTTGTTTCTGTGTGTGTTTTTTTAACACCTTAGGCATTACATTCTACAAAAAAAAATGTTTCCAAATTTACTCTTTCTATTAAATTTAATAAAACCACATCATTTTTGGCATCCTGAAGTTCCTTCCCAGTTATGGGAGCAGAATTAGTTGTAGGAGATTACTGCTGATATGAGTTGTCTGCCTTTGTGACCCTTGCCTACAAAGTCAACATGGCAGCAACGACTTACAAAACATGAATATTTGATGACGTTTTGGGTCAAATGAATGGTACCTAGTGGATATCAGCCATGAATCTCTCTTCATACTTTTATTGAAAATACTTTATAAATTGAGACATCAATAAGTAAATATACCACAATATTCAAACCCGGACTTTCACGGGCAGAAAGGGTCAGAACTGACCCAGCTGCCATATCCTGTCCTACATCCTATCTTATCTAAATCAAGACTCTTCAAGTAAAGGGCTGGCATCTAATGATGACCGGCAAGATCTGAGGTATCGAGATCTTTGAATAAAAGTAGTGATTCCGATAGGTGCCAACCTCAAATAAGTGCTGGGTCTGTCTTAGTTCAGCCAGCTAAACGTCGTCTTCCTACCGTCGGTGTATACCTTGGTAGGAACACGATGTTCAGTGTATACCTTGGTAGGAACACGATGTTCGGTGTATACCTTGGTAGGAACACGACGTTCGGTGTATACCTTGGTTGGAACACGACGTTCGGTGTATACCTTAGTAGGAACACGACGTTCGGTGTATACCTTGGTGGGAACACGACGTTCGGTGTATACCTTGGTTGGAACACGATGTTCGGTGTATACCTTGGTAGGAACACGACGTTCAGTGTATACCTTGGTAGGAACACGACGTTCGGTGTATACCTTGGTAGGAACACGACGTTCGGTGTATACCTTGGTAGGAACTGGACGTTAGGTGTATACCTTGGTAGGAACACGACGTTTGGTGTATACCTTGGTAGGAACACGACGTTCGGTGTATACCTTGGTAGGAAACGACGTTCGGTGTAAACCTTGGTAGGAACACGACGTTCGGTGTATACCTTGGTAGGAACACGACGTTCGGTGTATACCTTGGTAGGAACACCACGTTCGATGTATACCTTGGTAGGAACACGACGTTTAGCTGGCTGAACTAGGTCTGTGTCAACAAAGCATCCTTAAGGATTCCCAACAAAAAACGATTCCCAACGAAAAATCACATAGGAACATAGGATGTAGTCAAAAATTTAGAATCATGATATTTTGAAACATCTGTACTCAATTAATCCACGAAAAGCAGGAATGATCTTGAAGTAAGTTGCAGCAGCCCTTATTTATAACTTGGCTGCATGTTACTGCCCTGCTACAATAACCAACCTGTCTGGTATTAATGCAAGTTATTTTCCTGGTCTTACCTGAGTTTGATGTCTTCTGGTACCTCCTCTGGCTTCATGACACTCCCGTAGCGCTCGGACAACATGTTCAGGAAGTATGGACACTCATTTTGTTCTCGACATCTACAAGAAAACAGGTCATGTAGAAAATTCAATATTTCCACAGAAATATGTTGTTAAGCTGATAAAGCTTATTTTTTTGTTTTGCTTTTGTGTTTTTTTAACACCACACAAACAGTATGGTCATGTTACAATAAAATGACAGCACTCTTGTGAGATACTTTTGCCTGGTCCATTCAACTTGTACAACATTTGTATGGTTGTTCTTTAATGCTGGGGCTGGGTAGCCTAGTGGTTAAAGTGTTCGCTCTTTACACCGAAAACCAGGGTTCGATTTCCTACATGGGTACAATGTGTGAACTAGTGGTGGTCCAATTAATTGAAATTATCGAAGATTGGTCACTGTGACTAAACAACCAAGCAATCGATCATGTTTTCTCATAATCGAACACAAACAATTCTGGAACACTTGTTTTCATCAACAATATTTTTCACAAGGTTGGTTTTGTCTGTTACATTTTATAAGCACTACAAGGTTGTTCCAAGTCATGATTGAATTCATCTTAAAGACACCAAGAAATGTATGTTCCTAACATACTAGTCATCCTTTAAAGATGTGAAATTTTGCCCCCCAAAACCCAAAAATAACTTTTCCTTATTTTTTCTGCATTAACAAATTTCATAAATGACGCTAACCAATTATTTTCGATGATTGATTGATGGTAAACCAATCGTAAACAATACATCATTTGCATGTGAAGCTAATTGATATTCAGTCATTACTTCAATTAGCATAAAGGGTGGTAGGGTAGCCTAGTGGTTAATGCATAAGCTTGTCACAAAAGGTCCAGGTTTGATTCCTCATTTCTGGTGTCCCTGTCATGCTACTGCTGGAATAGTGCTAAAGGTAGCATAAAATCCAACTCACTCCCTCACTTAATAACTGAATTCTCGCATCATGGTTTGGCAGTTTATTGACACAGTGGATACGTGTTGTTTTACAATTTAACTGCAATATGGGAAATTGGAAATCAAGTAAACAGTGAGTAAATGTCAAGTTACTAAGTGATAACAAATAGGGTCAGAAGGAATGAATTTCTATGCAGAATATAGCTTAAACTTATGTTTGTTTGTTGCCAATATACCAGTGCATGGACAAAATATGGCAATATGTATTGTTTTAAAAGCATATTTTCCACTTTACCAGTGCAATCCTAACTGCAATCTATAGAATTCCTTATATCCTCATCAGAATATAATAGTATCAGACTAGCAAACTAGCACGATTTTCAAAGGCAGCTAGTACAAATCAATCGGATAGTTAATTCTCAAACAAGTAATGAAAATAATTTTAGATTGCCCACCATTAATTGCTGCAATAATGCACAGTCCATTGTTGACACCACAAACAAAGTGTTCCTCTTTAAACATTCAGAGAGAAACCAACATATATGACATCTTGTATAGATCTACCGAAGTGAAAATTTTAAAAGGTGGAGTGTCAGTGAGCTAGTTTGGTTTTATGTTGCTTCAAGCAATATTCCAGCAATATATAGATAAGGTTAAAGAGTGAGTGAGTATGGTTTTACGCCGCTTTTAGCAAATTTCCATCAACATCACAATGGGGAACACCAGAAATGGGCTTCACTTATTGTACTCATGTGGGGAATCGAACCCAGATCTTCGGCATGATGAGCAAACGCTTTAACCCGTAGGCTACTCCACTGCCCCTCAAAGTTGAAGATGCTACCTGTCAATAGTGTTTGGAATTGGTTTAAATCTCATAATTGATGATTGGTTCATTACAACCGATCAATCATCGAAAATAATTGGTTAGCGTCATTTATCAAATTTTCCTGGTTATGTTTGTTAATGCACAAAAAATAAAGAAAAAAACGTAGTTCTTTCGTTTTCTTTGCAAATTGCACAAAAAGGATTTGCAAATTTAACATCTTCAAAGGATGACTAGCATGTTAGGAACATGAATGTCATGGAGTCTTTAAAATAAATTCAATCATGAATTGGAAGAGCTTGTAGTGCTAATGAAATCTAACAAACAAAACCAACCTTGTGAAAAAATATTGTTATTGCAAACAAGTGTTCCAATATTGACTTAGTTCTATTATGAGAAAACATGATCGATTGCTTGGTTGTTTTGTCATTGCGACCAATCTTCAATTATTTCAATTAATCGGACCACCACTACCTGTCAATCTCTGACAAGCAGGCCAGCAATGTTTCCCGAGTGTCAGAATCTTTCGGTACACCCCATCGAAGGTCACATTCCATGAGGCGTATGCGCCTCTCAGTACACCACTGTCGCAGTGCCGGAACCACCCCTTTCACCAGGGCCTCTCTCTCAGAACTCATGTCCTTGAACGTGGAGCTGATGAAGAGACGAACTGTCTTCCATGTCTTTCGCTGGAAAGGAGTGATAGAAGAACCATCAATTTATTCAGCTCAATTTAGAGATGTCATTGATTAGAAATTGAAGTATCAATTTTCTGATTCAAAAGTATAATGGTATATTGATAGACCAGTTAATACATAAAGAGAGTATTTATTCTGGATATGTAAAGGTAGTCTCATAATAATTGTAAAACAACTAATAATAACACAAAATTCCTTATCTATTGTTTTGCCGATAGTATGCAATATTTTGAGTACAGCCAAGCCCTGATTAGGGATCAATATAATATGTGTGGGGACCAATCAGTTAATAAACATGGGTATTATGTTAATATCAAACTTTTATGTTGTCAGTGCTGTAATATCATATTTTATTTATGTGACAGGTCTAACATTTACAGAGACCACAACACATTTTTTAACTCATATAGCATGTCCAGTGATCAATTTGGGAGGGGGTTGGGGGTAAAATCTTAGGTTCCATTGATTTTAAGGATTTTCGGGGACATATGTAACAAGCTTTTCTTAGAATAGACATGATTTCTCCCTCATCTATATTGTGTTCCTCAAACCAATCAAACATGAACTCTTCCATCCATCACAACTCTCTTGGCCAACTCAGCTGCAGTTCTCACCTTTGTGTGGGGCTTGATCACTGGGGTATCCCTGACAATAAAGTCATCAACCACATCCCACCATTTGACAGTTCCATCATCTCTACTGATGTTCAGATCTTTCATCAACTCTTCAGTATTAGGTCGTGAATATTCAACATCTTTGACCGTGTGATGTGAACCTGGCGTTGAGATCGTGCTGTTTGTCCTGGATATGTCTTGTGTTGTTGTATGTGTTGAGATCACCTCTGGAGCTGCTTGCATGGTGTTTGTGGGCTTGCTGGCTATGGTTGAGGAGTGGGATCTAATGTCTTCCAAGCTGGCATATCCAGAAGAAGATCCACAGCCCATGCTATGAACTGATCAAAACAGTGAGTGAGTAAGTGAGTGGGTGGATGAGTGAGTGGGAGGTGAGTGAATGAGTGAGTGGGTGGGTGAGTGAGTGAGTGAGTGAGTGGGTGGGTGGGTGGGTGGCCCAGTGAGTGAGTGAGTGAGTGGTGAGTGAGGAGTGAGTGAGTGAGGAAGGGTGAGAAGGAGGGCAGTGGTGAGGGTGGGTGGGAGCAGGTGAGGGAGCAAGCTCCAGCTCCACAGCCAACTGTGAACTGATCAAAACAGAGTGAGTGAGTGAGGGAGGGAGGGAGGGAAGGAAGGAGGGCAGGGTGAGGGTGAGGGAGGAAGGGAGCAAGCTCCACATACAGCCCATTCTGTGAACTGATCAAAACAGAGGGAGGGAGGGAAGGAGAAGGAGGTCATTGGGTGAGTGAGGGAGGGAGGGAGAGAGCTCCAGAGCCCATTCTGTGAACTGATCAAAACAGAGTGAGTGTATTCAAATTTTCAGCAGTGAATGAATGCTAATTAAACCTTACCACTTCAAGCTATGTAGAAAATAGTGTCTTAGTATAATCCTTCACATGTCACTGAGGAAGGATAATAATACAATATCATCACTGCAAATACAAACTAAATACAAAACCCCTCTGTTGCAGAAGTGACTGTATGTGTTTTTATGTGTGTGTTCATGAATGTACTAACAAATTTACATTGAAAATGCCCAAGATAAATCATTTCATGTTCTGACTATGAATGTAGATGTAATCATGACTTACGCATGACAAAATCAATAATGTATGAACATATAATGCATAAATTCATATGATGTATTTTATTTAAACATGTCTATGATATTCATTATTTCAACCTCAAGTAATACTGATAAGTGTATACGCTTAATATATCCGAATCATTAATTAATGTAAATCTAATATACCTATACAGATGAGGGGAAATTCAGACTCGACTAGCATCTTATATCAGATACCATCCATTAATCCTCTTTCATGTTGATGTTGTTTTGCATATCAATATCAATTCTTATTTATCAGTCTCACCTGTGACGGATGCTGCTGTATATATCCCCACCACCTCCAAATTTAGTGTTGTTGGCGCTGTCCGTGTTTCTTTTCTAATTCTGTAATAATTTACAAATGACACGGGTTTTCCCGTCGCAACAATAACATATGGGAGTTACCGACCCTTGATATGGAAGAATAGGTGTTTCCGTAGCAACCGAAAACAATACGTGCTGAAACAACTTACTGCATACACGGGCAGTTGAAGACCCAGGCATTTTAACACAGTGTCAACTAACTAAAATAGGAGGGTTTTTTAAAAATAATTTGCATTACCAGACTTAAAATGCGCCGATTTCCCCAAGACTGGTGTGGGTAGAATGGTACAATTGGGCGCTGCCCCGCGATGCATGCCCGCAGCGGAGCAATTATCTCATTATAGCGCGCTTGTTGTCTCGCTGCTTGCCTCACGCTCCAGCGCTCACCAGTTGCATTTGAGGCAAACAACCCTTTCCGATCCATAGAGAGCTGCCACGTCTTTAGAGACAAACAACCCTTGACGATCGTTAGGGTTAGGGTTAAGTTTTAGGGTTAGGTAAATAGCTTTTGGTTTTTTTATTTATTCTCCACGACACGGTGATATCCCAGAATTTTTGACTGGGCATCGATCTCAACTGCGCCACCCGAAAGCGCAATTGGTAGTTCGATGTATCCTTACATTAATCAGCAAAGATGAAAAACAGTTTCGTCTTGGAATTCATTGGAAAATATAGTCATCTTTTTTACCCATTTATATTTCCATCTTGATTGTTATGATAACAAATCTAAACCCTTTAGGGTTTTACTTCCTCTGCCAGTGGTAAAAAAAAGTTAGGATTGAAAGAAAACGAAATCAATCATGTCCTTACAATTTTGCCGTATAATCCGAGCATGATTAATTTATTATTATAGTTAATGTACTTTGGAACCTCATAACAAAGTACACGATCTGTTGTTAGAGAATGTATAATACTACTGTAATATCTAGACATTTAATAGATTGCCAAAGTGAATATTTCACACACATACCTCTAAGTGCGACCAAGACTTAGTGCATGTTGTCTGTCTCGCATCGAAGAATTTCACGGCGAGAAACTAAATGAAGTGGACAAATTCTACTGAATTCTGCAACTGAATAAAAACCAACTAAAGTTGTAGCAATAATATCAGGCTATTACCTTGTTCGAGGAAAGTATCCATCAATATCAACATCAAGGAACGATATCCCATTCATCTGCAGCTGACAAAGAAACCTGTTCCGTGTCATGTGTCTTTCAAAAATCTAATTTTGTAAAATTGTATACAACTTTTTATAATAACTAGCGATAGTTTTTCAACTGGTCCCTGGCCTTGTTCCATGTTTTTCACATTGGTGTGTGGTTTCATTGGTCACATTTGATAGCAAATCCGACAACTATTTACGATATGTCTACCATTCTTCAAGCAAATAATTTAGTTACTGTTCTAAAACGTCACACGGTCTTAATCTAACTGCATGCTGTTCACATGTTTACAAGATATTGTCTTACTCGCATCGCCATGTAGCTGGAATATTGCTGAGTGCGGCCTAAAACTAAACTCTCACTCGCGTTAATCGCCATTTACGTGCGCTTCGATTAGTTCTTGAGTTGACAAGCTGCAGTAGACAACGTCCTTAAAAAACAGTAACATTTGTGATAAAGTGAACTTTAAGAATTATCATTTGGCAACTACAGTAGCAAACGTATTAAGTAAGTGAGGATCACTAGTAAACAAACGATTTAATATTTATAATACTTAATACCTATAAATTAATGGGACCCGTGAAGATCCGGGGTAGAATAGGTCTTCAGCAACCCATGTGCTTGCCATAACAAGGCGACTATCTTGTCGTAAGAGGCGACTAACGGGATCGGGTGGTCAGTTTCGCTGACTTGGTTGACAAATGTCATCGGTTCCCAATTGCGCAGATCGATGCTCATGCTGTTGATCACTGGATTGTCTGGTCCAGACTCGATTATTAACAGACCGCCGCCATATAGCTGGAATATTGCTGAGTGCGGCGTAAAACTAAACTCACTCACTCAACTATAAATTAATGGAGTTACCTCCCTTTGATCATACTTGTGGGAGAGAGAGACGGCGAGAGAAAGCGAGTGATTTAGAGTGAGTGAGTGAGTTTAATTTTACGCCACACTCAGCAATTTTCCAGCTATATGGCAGCGGTCTGTAAATAACCGTGTCTGGACCAGACAATTTCTCGAATCAAACTTAAGTCTTGGCCAAAGTTAGAGTTGATACTCAAATTTGAGAAAAGGCAGGAAAATGCATTTCCCAAAATGAACTGAAATCGATATTAAACTCAAACTTTGTAGACAATTTGAGTTTGGTGGCTAAATTACTCAAATTGTTTGGGCTTTTATATTTTAAAAATGCAGTTGAGTTAAAAATTCAGCTGTTTCAAATTCTTAAACTCATTGTGAAATTTGAGTAAATCCTTAATTTTGTTTCGAGAAATCGGGGCCAGATCTGTCAATCTGTCAGTGGTTGTTCTCCAGAAAATTTACACACGCGGTAACAACATGTTTTACTACAGAAACATTTTTTCAAACAGAACCATCCATTCCAGCTAAACGCTATATTCACAAAACATATATTATTGAGCAACACACTACATATATGACGCACAGCGATGTATCTTGTTTATCGTTTCTTTTTCTGTCGAAGTCCCTTATGCCCCCGAGGCGATGACGAACACATGGATGAAGTACCCGAAGTAATTTATTACCACAAATAAACAACAACATGGGAAGAGCGATGCATCACAGACCCAGTTTTTTGCTCGTTACGCCGCTCCCCATACTCAAAGGTGACTTCGAATACCGATTTGACGCATGCGTACCGCTGTACTTTACTTAAGTGGGTGATATCTCACGACAGTATGGCATTTTAAGTAGAAATGTTTTTATTCTTAACGTCACAGCTTTACAACGTCATTATTGGGATTTATTTTTAAAAACCCGGTCGCTTTTACTGATCGTCTGTCGGACAGCCGAGACATATATAACGTCTTTGTACGGAAAACAAGAAAAAGAGCCCCCGAACCGCTTATAGGCCCAGAACGTAATGTACTTCTAAATGTGTTCAGATACTTTCCAGAATGAGAAAATACTTTTTTGGGGGGACCGCCTGGGTAACAGATTGGTTTATGTAAATCCGTGTGAATGAGAGAATAGATGCCTGTTCTTAACAGATTTCTAACTCTTAACATATGTCCCACTCTGAAATAAAGTGCCGTGATATTGTTGGAATATTGCTAAGAGCGGCGTAAAACCATCCTCACTCACTTACTCACTCACTCACTCTGTTTTGATCAGTTCATAGAATGGACTGTGGAGCTCACTCACTCTCACCCACTCACTCACTCACTCACATGAAGCCGGTCATTTATGGAGATCAGACTCGATAGAGAAGTCCTGCTCTTAGTACAGGTGGGTTCCTAACAGATATATCAGGCTCTTAATAGAAACTCCTCTCTTCTTAGAAACCGGTTGTTATCACATGCCACGGCAGCTACTTGTTGCTAGAGGCCAGCTTTGAATTACGAAAAGCGTCAGTTTATTATTTCAACATGGGAGAGCTTTCTTTGCTTCACACTTCTCGAATATGTTCGGATAAATGTTCAGCCATCGTTGTGCATCAGTGTTGCCTCAATTTTAAAATAGAATTTGACATCGCAAAAAGTATCACTTTTAACTGAAGCCAGCAACCTAGAATTTTCCTAATGACGCAAAATGTCTAAATTTTCCCTTATCCGTACAGAAACAGTATCAGTCTCAAAACAACCCTGCCTCTTGTCCTGTTTCTGGGCCTAGAAAAATAAACCATATCCGGCTGAACGATAGCGGTATTGAGGTTTCGGTGCATGCCCCTTTGCTACGTTTATTTAACTTCAGAGCGTATTATCTTTTACTGTTGGTGTTATCTTGTCAAATTATGTGTGAAGTGGAGAGTGCACCAAGGTTTCTCGACAAACAGGTGGAGAGTGTGCTTTCATCTCTCACCTGATCTGGAGATCAGATCTTGATACAATGTGCTGTGAATATCTTTATAGAGAAATTGGCTTAAACCGGACAGTGTCCTTATCAGTGAAATCGTCCGTTTAACAGGTTTCCAGATTAACAACTATGGTTGGAATATTAGGACTGGCGTCACTAAAATTAGCTGAGGAGATAACTGACAGGAATCTACATACAACTATATACAGCGGAGGACTGGGAAAACAGCAAGAACTCAAAATGTATCACAGTGAACGACAGTCATGTTCATTACATCTAGAAACAAGATGGCTGTGACCTTAAGAACGATTTCAACATGGCTGCCATGGCGGCCATTTTGAAAATTTGGATATTGCTTCTGTGGGAAATAACATTGGGATTTTACAGTAGACGAAATACTTATGAGATAAAATCGTCTTTAAGGGCGATATTGAGCATTTGATATACCATGGCCCTTTGCATGTTACATTCTGTAAATACTAAGATTATCTTCATTTTATAGCGCTCTCAATATACATATTACCATCAGCTGGGACTGCCGGGAGGGCAATCGAGATCTTCTGTATTTGGGTAGTCTGTCTCACAGCCCCTGAACCACATTAATTTCCCTACTGCCAAGCCCTCTCTGCAGTGCTAAAGCCCTAAATAAAGCAAGTCTAGATTTCCTCAGGTTCAGGCTCTGAATCTCTGGTCTCCCTAGGGCTCCGTTTCAATATAAATGGGCTTGTTTGTTACTATCAAAATTATATATATTCAGAGACTAAGCCTTAGTCTACTATTTGGGTGGAGACCCGTGAAACCTAACCAAATCTAACTAGCTGCGTTTGAACCAAAGCAGACAGCCCATCAGACATTAGTGTGACTGGGTCTTCTCTGGTGATTGAAATGGACAAAATCTCCATCTGGAATCTCCAAGTCACCACACGTTACTTAACCAATACAGTAGACATCTCCCAACAGAGAGTAGGAACATTAGATGATGTATACTGACCATGACAACTGCTTTCAGCGCTCCCAGTACCAAGGCTCAGTATCGCTCCCCGGTCATAGCTCGTGAGACATTACATCGTTTTAAAGGACACCAAATTGAA